CTGTCCCGCCCTGTCCCCGTCCCGCCGTGTCCCTGCCCGTCCCTTCCTGTCCCCTCCCGGGGGTGGGCGCTCCCGGCTGGGCGGCGCGGGAAGCTCCGAGTGCCGGGAGTTCAGCCTGTGGTTAACAGGTGGCCGAGGCGGCTCGGAACTGGGAACAGGTGGCCCCCGCAAGCCTTAAGGTCTGAAGCGCTCTGCCAATTTTTCTTTCATTTGTAGTAATAATAATAATAATAATAATAATAATAATAATAATAATAATAATCAGGAGGTGGCATTGTTCATTTGGGTGATGTGTAGAATGTCAGCTGTAGAAAAGCTTGTTTCTCCTTTGTGAATTTGTAACGGAGTGATTCCTTCTGTATTCAAAAGCAGAACAGCTAAAAAGCACACTGACTGCTGAGCGTTTGAATGAATGTAACAATTGAACCGAAAAGTTTATAAAAGAAAGGTTGGAGAAAAAAAACCCATCAGATAAGTTTGTTGTGTGTTTGTTGTGGGGTTTTTTTGCTTTTTTTTTTCTCTCTCCAGGTAACATCTCTCTTCCTTTGTGATTTCAGACTGAAGGGATGAAAATCTCTCCTCCATACAGCCTTAGATTACTTCTCCTGATCTGTTTTGCCTTCTTCCCTTTTTCCGTGTGATCTTCCTTACTCTGTTGATTCTCATATTTTCCCCCTGCCCCCTCCTTCCCTCCCTTCCTTCTCCCTTAACACTCTCTGTCTTTAACAGTTGTCGTCTCAGTGGTTTCTTCCTCTGGCCTCAGCCTCTGTTGACAGTGAATGGTGTGTAAGTTCAGGTCCCTCTCCTGAGCTGTCTGCCATTCTTTTTTTGCTGGAAACAATCACCTCAATGACAAGCTCACAAAACTTCCCTCTGAGCAGTCCCTGTTCCCTGACATTTGCCTTTTTATCCTGTAATATCACCTTGTTTGGCACATAAAGCTGGAAAATGACTGGAAGTGTAGACACTCCACAAGTTTGGAACTTCTGTGACAGGTGTAGCTCGTAGAGAAATGGGACAGCAGTGGCAATGCTGCCTCAAACTGCCTCAGCAGGGCTGGTGGGACTTTGTTGGAGAGACAGCACTGAGGCACTTCTATTTCCAGGTGTGTTTCCCAGCCCACTGCTCTGTCTTGGAGTGTCTCCCTGTTTTGGTCTGTTCCTCTCATTTGAACTTCCCAGAGGCTGTGCACACAGGGGTGCACATTTATGTAATTACTGTGGAAACAAACAGATGTTTTGGTTTCTACTTAGAGATAATCAGGTAATAGTCCCCAGTTCTGGTTGTTTTTCTTGTCTCTTTGTGGCTTTCTATTCAGGTTCTTAATCAGAATGTCAAGATAATTTTGACCACAGGAGTAAATGCTTGGAAAAATGCCAGGGGAATGGCAGGTCTCCATTGACTGAGGACAGCCTGGCTCCATTCTTGTAAAAAATAATGAGATAATCTGGGTGTATCAATCACAACCAAATGTGTATCAATGAAATCAAGCTATTGCAAGAATTTTCATTTTCTTTTAAGGAAAAAGCCTCAGAATATTAAGAGCTGTACACAAAGTAATTTGCTGCCTACTCTTTCCCTGGTCACCCATGTACACTTTGTTATGGAAAAGGTGAAGCACAGATCATACTCTTTCAGCTTGTTCAAGAATTTAAATCAAATTTAAAGTCTTTGAATCTGTAATAGCAGCAATTACTGGCAAAATTATACTACAAATCTTACTGCAAATTAATGAAGGCTTTATTCTGTGTACTCACTGCAATGGACTGTGGTTGTACTGGTTCAGTGATGTTTTCCTGGCATCTACTTACTTATATTGTGTTATAAGTTACTTACTTATAACACAGAGACATGGCAGGGTTAAGAATGGGAAAATTCAGACACATGCCTGTGAGCTGTCTGATTTACCTGAGGAGAAATTTGTATTTGAGGCACTACAAGAAATTGTTTGCTTCTTCAGCAGTGCTGGAGGGAAGACTTAGATTTGAAGATGGGGGCAAAAATCCCCCAGGTCTTGTTTGAAACAATCCCAGACCTGTCTGACTTTGTATGAACAGCTCCATTTCAGTGAGTGCTTAAAATTGTCACTGAACCAATAAAGACAATATTTCTGCATTAATTTGTAGAATAACTCCAAAAGTTAAGAAAATATTTGGTGCATCATATAGGTTGGACATTTTAAAGAAAATATCTATAATTTTGTTTTGTTACTTCTTGAGGAAATGTAATATGTGATTCAAATGAAGAAGCTCATGTGTTATTTTGCATCTGAGAGATTATGGCTTCCAGACCCTGTGTGGGTGAAAGCACAAGCTGAAGTCTTTTCCACCACAGCACTGTCAGACCCCAGCTGTGAGATACCCGAGTGTGGGAGTAGCTCTGATAGATTTATCATACCTGTTTTGTTTGGGTTTTATTTTCATCCCTCTCAGCTGGTTTATCTTGCTCTGGCTTCAGCAGGGGCTGGGAACAGAGCTATTTCTGCAGGGAGAACATTGAGAAGTGAAGAGGTGCTATGGGAAGCGTGCTGTGGCTTGTACTTCAGATCAGAGGAACGCTGTGTGAAGATTAGAGAATTATTTTGTAATGGGAGAGGGGAAATTGTCACTGGCTTCCACTCCACTTGTCAGCCTCAGCTTTGTGGTGACATTTCACACATGCAAAGCTGAAACAGAGCTATGAAATGAGGCCTGAACACACTCATCCATTTTCTGGGCTGTGCAACCCTACAAGCACTGCATGAAAGCTGGAGCCTGGCATGCTGCAGGTTGGTGTGGCTGTCTGTGCAGCTCCAGTGCCTCTCTGGGGCCCAGGCCACTGACATCAGGGGAGCCCAAGTAATTTTAGCTGTGAATCAGTCCAGAGTTTCCCAGGAACAACCACCCAAGGGTGGTTCCTTCCTTCAGCCTTGCCTCTGTTACAAATGGTTGGTTTAGGCGGGGTTGTTTGAAGCACACCTGGGTGTCTCTGTTATTGGGTACGGTTGGGTTTTCTGGCTGCACTGAGCACTCTGCTTCCAATATTCCTTCATGACTTGCACACTAGCCAGCTAGAGTCAATCTAGTTTGGTAACCCTCTGCAATGAAACAGTTTCTCAGAGAGGTTTTTTTGCTTTCAAATTGAATACCATCCTTCAGTTACAAAAAGTGGCAGTGTTTGTTCTGTCCCTTCTGTGGAGGCTGGATTTTTTTTCAATAGATTCTTACATGGTAGCACAAATGAGAGGTATTTTAAAAGCTGCTCTCACAGGTAGGTCCTATTCTGATGGAGCCATTCCAGTTGACCTGCAGTGTGCTGATCAGTAAGAGTGGATGGAGGGAGCTTACCTTTCTCTCTGCTCAGAATAAAGCATTGGATTGGCAGACTTCAGTGCCAGAAAGGAATTCAGAGCACCCCCATCTCAGCACTGAGCTTTCTGTGAGAATAAAGCTAATAAAAAGAAACATTTAATAAAACTCGATTTACAGTTTAATCTTACCTCATTAGTAGATATGTCAGGGATCTTTCACTGAAGGGTTTTCTACAACAAATCAGCCTGAGAGGTTAAACAATTGTAGTGAGAAAGGTTAAAAAAAGCAATATGGTAAATAACTGAGAGAAAGGTAGCCTTTCTTTCGGGAAGTGTTGAATACATATATATATGTACCACTGATGTCAGCATTTATAACATTACAGGACTGAAAAAGTCTCAGTGTTTTAATGCTTACTGGTAGGGCTTCCTCCAGTCTGGTTGGTCATGAGGGAACTTGGGTTTGCAGCTGCCATACCCACACATCTAAGAGGAGGCTGGCTTTTAGTGGGGAGAGGATAACAGGCTCAGCACTGATTGTGTAATCCTGCCCTAGATGCAGGAAATAAATGGAATTATGGCTGATCTTTATTACATTTAGAAAATACTAACTCTTAAGACTGTATGTTCTGGCTGTAATCCAAAGCTTTTGGTACTGGAGTTAAGCTAAGCTTCAGTGTGCTTTGGCAGCAAGTCCCCACTAACAGTTCCATGTCCCTTTACTGTCAGTGCAGGCCTGAAACTTCTTAAGAGGAATGCAGACATTCTGTGATACCATGCTAGATATAATTCATCTGCCTTCTCAGACAAGGCTAATGAGTGGTCTTATGTAATATTTGCTTTATTTATTTTTAGAATCATAGAGTTGTCAGTGAACTCATAGTATGGTATGATTTTATATTAGTTTCTGCCTTAACTTCCAGGTGGAACCTGCTGAGTTGGACTGCTAAGTGGGCATTATTGTTTGCTTATATTGTTATTTTCTATAGGAAAACAGTACGTAAATCCTTTCAGCCTTTATTAAATTTCACTTTAAAGTCATAATGTCATCACTTTTTAACTAGGTACAAACAGTAGCTATACAGGTAGCATGCAAATTGTATATAGTGGTGTGGAGTTTGTGTGGGGTGTGTAAGAAGTTTGTTGTTGGAGTTTACATTGCACAGTTATAAGGATAATAAAATTCATGTCATATGATGTGTAATGTGGTGGTATGAGGCAAAGATGTCTGTAACTGTAACCTCTCATCCTTCATTCACAGTTTAAGCAGTGACTAAACCAGCTTTTTCCCTTTCCATTGTTATAAACTCCTTTTGTGATGGATCCAACATTACTCTTGTTACTTTAGTGCAACAGCTCAGACATTGCTGTTTGTGAACATCAGTAGCAAACATAACCACGATTAATATGGTGCTTTCTTTTCTCTCCAAGAAGAGACCTACATATCAGAGTTGGCACTCATGATTGATTTTAAATTGTAAAGTCAGTTTTCAGATCTCTCCCTCGCCCCCTCGCCCCCTCTCTCTCTCCCTTTTTCATTTTTATTGCTTGCTTTCCTCTCTTTTATTGCAGGTGGGATTGGGCATTCCCCTGAAAATGCCATAAATTTGAACTCAAACCCTGCTCACCTAGGGTACTGACAATTAGCAAGAAACAAGGACCCTTAGGTGAAGTATTTCCTGCAGACTTACCTGTCTGTGCTTGGGAGTGGCACAGCTTGTTCCAGGCCACGTGGTAGGGTTGCAGAAAGATGGGGTCTGTATTGCTTTTCAGCTGATGCAGTGCAGCAGTGTAAATAAGTTTGTGCTTGTTTCTTTCATTTGATTTTTTTCTCTGACTTCACCTCCTGGTCTTTGGGATGGAGTAAAGAGGAATGTGGGGGTGGCTGACTCCCTTTCCCTCATGCAGAATATTGGTGCTGGTATGGGAATGTAGAAGATATGGGAACAGCCTGAATTTTTAACTTCCCATAGCCAACGATTTCTGGGTTAACTGTGCTGCCTAGCTGATGGAGCTGATGCAACAGGGTGTACTACTAAGCTTTCTCAGGCTTGGACTCCTCACAGTTTGCAATGTTCCCTCTTTTTTGCCCCTGTCTGGGTCTTGGGATCTTCAGAGTTTGCAAGCAGACTTTGGTTTGTTCTTTTGAAAACCATTGAGTGCTTAGATTCTGTGTCACTAAGCAGAATAGAAGTATTTGGAAAATATATGTAGTTTGTGACTGAAAATTCACCATGCTGCTCGTGTCTACCATCCTGGCAGTTTCTCTTGCTCCAGAAACAAACATTACATGAATAATCCACATGATTTTCTTTTTCTGCATGCAGGTCAGCTTTGGAGGTAGTTGTTGCTGGTTACAAGGAGATTTTCAGACATTCACAAAACCAGATATGCCTTTGTGGTCTCAGTGGTGGTGTAAGCCATGAAGTTGTGTTGCAGATGTGGTGTGTGTTCAGTTTTGCTTTCATTTTAAAGGTAGGTGGCTGAGAGCCTCATGTAATGTATCAGTGATGCCCAGATTGGAGAAAATAGTCCAGCTGCAGAGCATTTGATAGCCTGCTGCTGCTGTTCAAGGGCATGGGTTTGATGCAAACATAGCCCAACAGCCACACTAGCTTGCTCAGGTGCCACTGGCAGCTGCCAGGCCAGCTGAGACCTTACAAATTTCACACAGGTTACAAACAAGTTCTCATGAAGGCATAGTTCAACTCCAAGAGTTGCAGTTGGGTCTCCATGGGGAACACCTACTTTATCTTCAGAGAGCAGCCCAATGCTCCAGAAGAAAGCCCTGAGCACTTGCCCTTTCTAGTTTCCAGGATACCAGCCTCCCTAAATTTCAAAACAGAGTCCTTCTTTGGGGTTTCTTGAATAATCAAAGTGAAGCTTTTTGTTCTTGACTTACTTGCTCCTGGAAGAAGGGAGCCAGAGTGAGGAAAGCCTGTCTGCATCCATACACATCAAAATCAATAGAGGGGCTTTCATGTTTGCCTCAAAAGACTCCTGTACCTTCCAGAAAAAAACCTTAGCAAAGTCAATTATAGGAGATCCCTGTGAAGCTTCAGAGCTGTGGGATGAATCATGGCTCTCAGAAAGAGTGTTTAAGAGCATCTTCTGGAGGAGTTCCTTCTTGGAAATGCTTACCTCTTACCTGAATCCCTGCATGACCTGCTGCAGCCAGGCAAGTGCACCTGACAGGTGCTACTGTGCCAGCTCAGCCGCCTTTGCTCTTCCTCAGGAGGTGCAAGGTCTAAATAGTCACTTCTTTCACTGTGCTGGTCCTTGTACCACCATGCTAGACTGGCTTTTTAAGGAAAATAAAAGGTTTTTGCATGTTTGAGGCTTAGTTTTTGGAGGTATTTGGACAGTAAAAGCTTACAACTGAGCTGGAAGTTGGTTTGGAACAGTGCTTATGCTTAGCCCTACTGGTTGATTTAGCAGCATATTTATATGCTTCAAAGCACAGATTAGCCAGAGAGCTGGTGACTCACCTTTTCATTAGCACCTCTCCCTCTGATAGTGGCTTGTCTGCAGTGGAAGCAAGTCTCCACATGCATGCAGCCAGTGGTGAAAGGCTGGAGCTTCTAATCCCAACCTAATGCTATACTGGGACAGATGCTTTGTGTCCTGGAAGTGGCTGTGCTCCCTGTAAATCCTAAACGGACACTAGTGACTAGACTGGGAGAGAGCTCTACATGCAGCCCAATGAATCCCAACTGCTTTGAGGTGGGAAGAAGCACTTGAGGTGGAAGAAGCAGCGTTTTTCAGATTGCTCCAATACTCTGTTCTGAAGTTTGCTGCAAGTGGATTTCAGCTCTTTTTGCAAGACTAAAAGGAAGGAGGTGACAGTGGCCATTAGTGACGCCATGTGAGGAATATTTAAATGAAAGGCTTCTCTGGAAAGTGATAAAAAAAGCAAAATAGCCTTTAAACAGGACTAACCAATGTTGTCAAGAGACATGTCATCAACAAAACATTGAGAAGGGGAAAAAAAGATGTTGTGAGCCCTGTGTAGTCTCCTGGAGCACCGTCACAAAATAAAACAAAGTCTTGTAATAAACAACTGACAGAGCTGAGATGGAAGCAAATTAGCACAGAGATCCTAGGGTTTTCTCTGTGTCACTTCCTTCTCCCAAAGCAGCAGTTGCTTTAGTTAATTAAAATAAGAAAACTTCAGACTTAATCAGACATTCTGTCTTTAATTTGAGGATATGGAAAAGTCAAGGAGGGTCTTTACTGCCAACACAGGCACATTTAGTTAGACTTACCTCTCTCTCTCTCTCCATTCTGAAAGGGTTTGAAGTACGAGATGGGAAACATTCTCAGCCATGAACTGGGTTGTCTACAATATCCATGTTTTTTTCCTTTTCCTCTATGCTTCAGGCTATTTATTAATTCTGGAGGCTTTCTGAGTGGCTAAGGGGAGGGTGAGGGTAATGTGGTGAAGCTTCTTACCCTGACCCAAGAATGAAGTTGGTCATTTCTCAGCCTACCCCTTCACCTTTCCTGCTGCCAGGTTGCTCATTCTGAAAACTAAATTGGTTTGGGTTGAAGAATAGATCCATTTATTGTTTTAAAATATTTATAACTTGCCAGTCAAGTTTTTTGGTATGTGTTTGTATTTCTGAATGTTATATTTAAGCTGAAGTGAAGTTTACTTTTTCAGGCATCCTGCTTATTTAAAACTGCTTTGAGGCATTGCTGCCAGCATTTGGTCATGGTAGAATAGCTGCAGAAAACTATTTTGCAAATTTGAAATGCTGTTCATATTCACTGAGTGAAAGTAGTTCTTATTTTTTGTTCTTTTTGTGTGGCCCTCCTAGTACTTGAAGCTTTAGTCAATCCTGCTGGGTTTTAATTGAATTCAAAATTACCCAAAGCTCATCTTGCTTTTACAAGCATATTTTTTAATATGTTTCAATTTGGATTTCCTGATTCCAGCTACTGCAGCAGATGTTTTGTGCAGAGATGTGCTTTCTTTTGGTGCGCATAAAACTGTCTCATATTCTGAGAAAAAATTACTCTCTAAAATGCAAGGCTCTAGTACAGAATGGTGGAAATGACAGAGATCTCAGTCAAGACAATTTCATGACGCTCAAGTGTTGCCTTGCAATTTTTGTTAATCTGTGAGGGAAATCACTCCTGTTTTATTTTCCTTCTATAGTGGCATATTGAGCCTGTTTATCAGCATAGAGAAATTTAGGTTGGAAGGGACCCCTGGTGGTCATCTGGTCCAACCTCCTACTCAAAGCATGTTTAACTAGATCAGGTAAATTTTTCCTTGTATCTAATATGAGTCTCCCGTTTCCCCATTTTTGTCCATTGCTTCTTGTCCTCTTACTGTGCACCTCTGAGAAGAGCCTGGCAGCAGCATCTCTGCACCCTCTAAGTGTAGACAGCACTGAGGTCTTTCTCCCTGGAGCTGTCTCTTCTGCAGGCTGAGCAAACCCCGAGGCTCTCGTGCCTCCTGTGCTTCAGCTCCCTAAACCCCTTGGTTGCCTTTCACTGGGCCCTGTGTCTATAATTAGGGGAAGGAGTGGGAGGGGATGGAATAGCCTGTCTGGTGAGGCAGTGTCTGCTCTTGGGAGCAGTGATGAGGAAGTGATCCAAGAGATGAGACAGAACAAAAACCTGAAAGCTGTGCTAGGTGTAGCCTCCATTAACGCATTTCATATCCACAGGTCTGTGCTTGCTGAGGTGCGAGATGTCTGCCCTGAGGCTGGTCTCTAACAGAACCTCCCAGCAGGCCCTGTCTAACTCTGATTACACCTGGGACTACGAGTACTATGAGTATGGACCAGTGTCATTTGAAGGCCTGAAGGCTCATAAGTGTAAGTTCAGTAGAGACATACGTCCTTCCAGCTGAGCTTCCTGTCTGCGTGTTCCTGTTCTTCACTTGAGACTGGACATTGTACAAAAACCTTTCCAATGCCTTCCAGTGCCTTCTCTGCAATTAGCAATATCCCTCTATTTATTAGATCATCATTATTTCCTATTATTCTGTATCCTTTTGCTGACTTTTTCCTTGTTCATGTGACAACCATGGATTTATTTGCTATGGTAGAAATTTGTCAATACTGAGGAATCTGACTGTCTGGAAAAGTTAGCAACAAATACAGATAGACTGCTGCTTCTGCTGACTTCTTGTTAATATAAGTGTTTCTTTGTTTTGGTTCTATTTTTTTGTATTTGCTTCTATTAATGGTAAAAAAGGCAGTGGTGGGGAGCCTTACCTGCATTACCTGTGTTTGGTTTTCCTGATAGAAAATAAATTTTAGGTTTTTAAAAGGTTGAAAATAAGAGAATAATTTTCTCCTTCTGAACAAACTTGCAATTGGTATGTTCTTCATAGGAGGAGTGCTAAATCAAATTTTCTGTTACTACTGGAGTTTCTTACATTAGAAGCAAAAAATATAGGATAGGTACCAGAAATATGAAAAATGTGAATGGGAATTGGGAGAAAATATAACTAGGACAAGCTAGTACAGCTGGACCAGTGTTTTTCTAAAAACTAGACAGTGGATTTGATGATCTTTCCTTTTAGAGGAGATGATTGTGAGGGACAAACAGTAAAAGAGGGGGAAAAAAGTAACAGAAACCAGCTAAATTACCTGATGTTAGAGAAATTCTGCAAACACTTTGCAGAAGAGAAAAACCCATCCTGTTTCTGAGCTAGGTACACTGTGAAGGGGTTTGATCCCCAGACTTTAAAGTTTTGGGAAGTGTCCCTATCCAGTGCTGGAGCACTGATCCAGGATGAATCACGTATTTTCTGTCTCATTTGTCATGATGAGCATTCTGACTGGGAAAAAGTGGTACCTGCACTGGCAAATGGCAGCCCAGGAAGGCTGATCTCCCTTGCCTCTACACAGTCAGAAGGTTTTGGGAAGGCTCAGGAAGGGACAGAAGAAACTTGCTGAAATTACTAACACTTCTGAAAAAAAAATTAGAGTAGAATTTACTCTTCTTTTTCCCCTCCAAAGAAGTCTGCTGATTACTGCCTGTATTTTTACAAATGATAGGTACTTGAAAAATGTGGGCTAGCTTTCATCTTGTTTTTAATTTGTCTTCCATTCTTCCACTCAATCAGAGGTTAAACCTGATTACAAAGATTACTGGTTGCAAAGATCAGCTGAAATGTTATGTACGCATCTGCTTTTCAGCTCAGTGTCTCAAACAGCATGATGGGACAAAGAGGTATAAATGACAGCTGCCTCTGGATTGAAGAAGGCACAAGAAGGTCTTGGATTGCCATCAAAATAATGAGCATGGCAGCTGAGCTTCCCTGTCTGGCTATGCTGTTCTTAGAGCAGAAGGTCCTGGACAGCTCTTAGAGAACAGGATAGAAGTAACAACTGCTTTTCGGGTGGAGCTTAATGAAAGATGTCATTGGTAGTACTTGAATCCGAGATCTAGGAAGTACCTTCTGGTTATGGTGGATTTTCTTTAGTTTTTGTTTCTTTGTTTGTTTGTTTAAAGTGATAGATTGGAGTTGGCTCTGTTTCCTTCACTTTTATTGCATGCATTCCCCAGAAGGCAGAGTTTAATCTACTAAAGGAATAGTCTGTGTTGTGTATGGAATGATACTTCTTGACGTGGTGTGTTCTTGTTCCAGCTATTGCTAGCTGAGCTGAGATCGTTGTGAAATGTGGAGGCAATGTGATCAGACATGAATGTCTCTGAAATCCTAAACTGGGGAGAAGGAGAGAAGATTAAAGAGGGGTTTTATGAGGAGGGACACCTTGAATACCTACAAAGAAAAGGTGTCAATGAATGCCTGTAACTTATTTTGGAGAGCTCAACAGGGAATGAACTCCAGTTTAGGTGATTTGATTTAAATATAGAGGAATTCAGAAGCCTGTTTTCTGAATGCAGAGAAAAATTTATTCAAAGAGACCCTTGAGAAAAAGGATTGATAAAATAATCTACTACACAAAAATACTTTTCTTTGAACAAACAAACAAAAAAGATGCCACGATGATGTTTCAAATATATGAGTGCAAAAGAAGAAGAAAAAAACCCCAAAAAGTATGTTCTGCTGGAGAAGTGAAGACAGGAACTAGAAATCAAGAAATCTGGAAAAACAGAGACCAGATATTTTGTACATTAAAGATTCAGAAAGTATATAGACAAAGATAGCCAGGAGAGACTCATGACTGGCAGAGGTAAGAAAAAAAATCACTTTTTGTGCCTTTGAAAATGAGGACGCCTCAGTTATGTTAGCGAGAGGCAAAATAGGAATGATCAGAGGAGCTGGAACTGCTGCCAGGATGAGTCTGTATTATGAAGAAAAGGAAGGCTGAAACTGCACTTGAAAATGTTAAAGTATCCCATAATTGTTTATTTGTAACTTTGGGCAATGTAAGTGTCCTTCATACCATATTTTTTGAACAAAAGTTGGGTCAATTTTGAATAATTGTTTAGAATATAATAGGTTTGAATAATTTCCACTTGAGTGAGACCTAAATGAAATATTGAAGAGAACTCAGGACACCTGCTTGAATTTTAAGCAAATTCAAACAATGTAATTTATACAGCAGAGGGTTGGAAGTGTGTCAGGAGGCACAATAAAGCAAGGAAGATGCAGCATTAGGCTCGGTAAACTTAGAAATTCTGTTGGGAGCAGGGACACCAAACCAACCACAAAACATGCTTGTTATTCAGGACACAATAGGCAGTTTGATTTTTGTGGGGAGCAGTAGTTTATCAGAGCCTTAATTTTCTTTTTTTTTTTTTATTTTTCTTTTTTTTTCCTTTTAGTTAAGTTTTTCAGCTTGAATGATATAACCTATGTGCATGTTTTTTAGTTATCTTGATTGGATTTTACCTTCTGGTTGCTAATGCTGCTGCATACCATCCAAGCATGTCTCACTGGAAGGTACTAATAGCTGTAAATGTTTAAGTAGTAAATTTTTTAAAGGGAGTATTTCCTTTTTAGATGAAATCTGCATGTACTACAAAGTCCAGCAGGATGAGCTATTTTATATTAGGAAAGTTGACCATTAGGTATATCTTTAACCAGTGAGTACAGGCTGTGCTTGCAGAATGATTCTGAAAGTAACTTAGTGCATGTAATATATGGAATTACAGAAATAAACTCATGGCAGAATGCTTTAAGCAAAAAGGGATATTAAAATCTCTTCCCCCTCCTTCACAGAGACCTATACTCAAACCACATTCCAATTATTTTACACAAGGTATTGAGAGGGGAAGATACAGCATAGGAGAGATGGAATAAATATTTCAGTGGGAGACTGGAAACTAAACCTCCTTAGCTTACCTGAGAAAGGGATTAAGGAGGGACTTCATTGTGATAAAGTATTTTCTCAGGGACAAAATCTCCAGTCGCAGCAGGCATTTTTGACTTTGCAGGGAAAGAGAGAATGGTTTGAGTTGATTTCCAGTTTCCACATCTGCCTTTTAGTGTGGAAGATATTTCCCATTGGGAGCATGATTAACAGCTGGAGTCAAGCACAAGGTAGGATAGCTGATTCCTTGTTTTTTCAGTGTCTTAGTGACTCCTGTAGGAAACTCAGCTGTTCTGTGCTGTGCCTGGTGCACTGGGTCAGACATTACAGCCAGTGAGGATCTCTGAGATTTGGCTGTGTAATGAGAGGTGAGGGTAGAAAGGATTCCTGTCCTGACCAAGCCTTCCTTCTTGCATGTTTGTATGTTCATGTTGTGAACTTCTACAGTGGAAGTTTTGAATGCTTGCATAAGCAAAGAATAACTAATTGAAATGACAGGTGAAAGAATACCTGGGTGCTGATGGGTCCCTGGTGATATCGAGTGTGGGTGCTCTGTGACTTTGGGCCATGCTAATCAGTTGATATTTGTCTGGAAATATGTTTGTCCCACTTGAACCTCTCTAAATCAAGTTCCTGGAAACTTTGAACTTCCCTCAGGAGCAACTGTGGATCCACCTTGAAGTTGTAAGTGGACATAGATTTGTTTTTAGCAGTACTGGCAAATTGTCTACGGTCTATTTGCTATAAATGGGAACAGTAGATACAGTTTATGCACACAGGCAAAAAGCCACACTCTTCCCAATGACTGCTATATTTGGCTACTGCACTGGTGTTTCCCTATTGATTAACTGCTGGTTTGAGTTTTTTGTCTAAATCTGCTGTGCTCCTCTGACACGGTGTTGCTGTACTTAAGTTGGAAACCCAAATTGAAAATTATTCAGAAAAATCTTGTATCTCTTGGTTAGTGGTATTTATTGAAGTAGCAAAGATTTTTATCTGTGGCTCTGTTTCATGCAGAACCCTTTGTCTTGCCACTGAAAGGTCTTCCTAAACATATTTTGTCAAAGAAGTACATTTAAATCCAGAAACTTAATGGTCTGGAGCAGAAATAACTTTAGATAGCAGGAGTTCAGTTCTACAGAGACAGAGGATTTTGAGGAAAATCAAATAATCCTCTCTTCCTAGTTCTAGCATTGAAGTTCCAAAGCAATGCTTGAAAATGGGCCTGGCATCACATAGGGACCTCCTCTTAGTTTACTAACCAAGAGAATTGTCTTCCCTCTGTTATCTACTGTCTGGTTGTCTAGATAACAGTAAAATTTGGTCTCAAAATTAGATTTTCAATGGCAGCTTTCTGTTTAAAAATAGATAAAGATAAATTTGATTTTATCCCTGCTCTTTGTCACCCAGAAATAAACTTCCAGCTGTTTTGGGTTTGCACTCATGCTGCATGTGGAAGGCAACTTTTTGCAAGTGCAAGTAAAATATTGATCATCTTGTTTCCTCTTTTTTTCCCCCACCAGATTCCATTGTGATTGGATTTTGGGTTGGTCTTGCAGTTTTTGTCATCTTCATGTTTTTTGTCCTGACCCTGCTGACGAAGACAGGAGCACCACATCAAGAGTGAGTCTGAAAATGGGAATGACAAATCCAGCCTGCTAAGTGGCACACCTGGGCTCTTGCAGCCCCCAAACAAACAGTGCCAGTGCTGACACTGTACCATTTTATTCTAGTCTGTTCTTATGAAACAGTGCAGTCTGTCTTCATTTCAAGTAATTTTAGCGTTTTCATTCTAAAAGGATGTTTTGGGTAGGCTGCCAAACAGGTGCCTTTGATTACTGCTTTGCAAACAGGTGGGATGGTTCTAAGTAGGCTCAAGTTTTCATGGAGTGATTCTGTGAATATCAACAGAGTAGATACAAATAAAATGCAGTGCAGATGTTGAATTAAGGAAGCTGTAGCCTGGCTGGTTGCCAAATGTTTGTGTGTTCAAGCCCAAAGACAGATAGGGGTAGTATTTGCAAAATCTTCCCTTAAACCCTGAGATCTGAGAGTGTCTCAGGTTCTGCTGAGAAATTGCAATAGATGCTGAAGCAGAGATCAGCTCAACATTTCTTTAAAGCCAGTGTCCCTTGAAACTCCTCTATCTTTTATTCCTTCTGGCTGATAAGTATGTGCAGACCATGCCTTGCCCCAGTGGTTTATCTGCATTTGCACAGGATGCAGGCTGTAAGTGTCCCTTCCTCTAAGAAAGTTTCAGCCCACTTCTCCTCTCAGGTTTGTGTGCCATAAAGTGGAAATAAAAAGCCTCTCTGGAGGGTGCAATTTCTTGCAGGCAGATAGCAATGATGAGAAGCTGATTGTAAAAGGCAATTCCTTGTGCTTATCACTTCCTAAAGCAGCCTGTCTATGCCTCCTGGAGCCCCTTTGCTATTTAATCACATGTAAACTGGCTCTGGACTCCATGTGATAGCATATCTTGAGAGACAAGGCCATATTAGAGAGGGCAGGTGTACATCCTGAGCTTCCCCTGGAGTCCTAAAATTTTGCTCCTGCGAGAAGGAAACAGAGGCAGAAAAATCCAGCTTGCCAGAACTGACCTGCTGGTATTTTTGTTTCCTCTATAGACTTATGAAGTAGCCAGATAATAAAATATATTAAATATATTTTAAATCAGATATATTTCTGATTTAAATCACAAATAGATTTAAAATCCCTGTAATTGTTCATGTGCTCTTTTTCCTAACGATCTTATTTATTAGCTAAGCATGAGTCTGGATCTCATGTGGATAATTTGAGAGGAAAAAGTGATGAAGTCAAAAATACCAATATAGAGAGAATTTAATACGGATATTTGTCAAAAATTTTTACACTTGTAAAAATTTACTTCCAGGTAGCAGAGGCCTCCTTGATATCTCCCACTTTCTTCTGCTTTTTTCATCAGTCATCTCAGAACAGTGTCCTAGAGAGTTTGTGAAATGTCCACCTTTGGTCAGCTTCTACATCCAGATAATGTGGTCAGAATTCAGACTTGCTCTTGTCTTCATCATTAGGCTTGAGACTTCCAGAAGTCCCTTCTGTTTTACACTTTAATATAATTTTTCTTCAGCTGCTGGAGTGAGACTGATTATTCCTTTCTGTATTTATTATATATCTCTTTGAGAGCTGTGTGCCTGAGTGCTTGCCCACTTGCTATGTGTGCTAGTTGGCATCTTTAACAAATTTGAGCACTGTTTTTTTGATATTTGGTATGAAATGTGCATGGTACTGAACCTGGATCCTCTGGAAATATGCTAAGGGCAGGGATTACAGTTGTGTTCTTCCATTTTTGATACTTGTATATAAAAACTGGAGAACAGCTACCTGTAAAACCAGAGCAGACTGGTTTCAGTTTGTCTGCATTTTCTATTTTATACCTGACTGGACTCTTCATGAATTGGCATTTCATTAGTGGGCTGCCTTGAGCCCTCCTTTAGAAATAGATGTTAACGGGATTCCTTGGTCCTGGGAGAAAGCCAGCTTGATTGATGGATGAAGTCTCTGACTTCAGTAAGGCTATTTGGCTGTTCTTCAGAGTACCATTAATGTGAGAGATTAAGTGGATCTGGGCTCAGATGGATGGATCCAAAGTAGAATACTCTGATTTTTTCTTTTTTTTTTCTAGTAGTATGCTTGGCTCAATATAAAGGGGCCTGATAGCTTGTACTTTTCAAAATTACACAAGATGTTCAGAATTAGGTACATTCTCAGACCAGAATGGACAGGATAGGGATGGGGACTGGCAGAAATTTAATCAGTTATGGAAATTATGTCTGTTGCATTTCTCTTTTGTTTTCTTGCATATATAATTGTGTGTGGAACATTAGCTTGTGCAACTGAAAAAAAAAAATTTGTTTGCAATATCTGAATTTCCAAAAAACGCTCTCATTCATCAACTCAGGAGTGGAAAGCATGCCATATTTGTTTCTGCATTTAAAAATGTCCTTAAGAGCACATTTGTGCAACAAATTGTGCAACAAATGCAAGAGATCGTGCAACCTATCTATGCAAAATACTGGCTGATAAAGCAGTAAATGTTAGATAACTGGTTTTTTTTTAAGAAATCAGTTGATCTTGGTTAAATAAACCTGGGATTTCTGAGGCTGCTTTTCCTGAGTGTTCTGAAAAGATATCAGCTGAGGAATTCTTGAAGATTGTAACGAGCAAGACTATGCAAATTTCTAATTTTTAAAAAATGTAATAAAATTCCTCTCTGAAATACAAAGGTGATGTTTGTGAATTTCAAAATCCAAAAGTATCACCACATATTAGATCATGTGTATGCTTCATCATATATCCTCAACATTCTGGGTCATTGTAAAATTTATTTGCATCTTCTGTTCTTCCATTAAGATTAGATTGCCATTGCCAATCTTTTGTACCCCTCTGCATGGTCAGCCTTTGTTCCTCCATAGTTCACTGGTTTATGAAGCACTTTCCACATCTATGGAGTAATTCTACTCTTGTAGTGGATGCATTTTAAACTCTCTTCTGCGGTCATTTCTTCCTGGGCTTACAGTGCTTGTCCTTCCTTCTGTGCTTATTTGCCTCCTCTACTGCCTGTGCCACAACCTAGAAACTCTTGGGACAGATTTGCCAAATTATATATGAAACTTAATCTGGTGCTTTTTACTGCATTGTAAATATATGTCAGTTGTCAGTTCAGAATTATTCCAGGCTGTTTTCCCCCTAATGTGTTTACAGTAGATTATTATTTAGTTACTGGTCAGTCTTACATCAATTTAAATGTTATTCTTCTGCCTGGTTCACTTTGAAATGCAGAGTAAGCCAATACAGTTTTGGCAAACTAGAGAACTGCTTTGATTTCTAGGCTAGTGGAAGCGATTTTCTGAGGACAAAATTCTCCCATCCTGTAATGGAAGTGAATTAGCTTTTGAGAAGCAGGGATCTTTAACTGTGCCTGAAAGACTAATGGTAGGTATCCTGTGAACTTGAAAATTTTAGTGGGTAGATTTCTGAAGGTGTCATCTGAGGCTTTCAAAAGCTTGTAGGCACTTACTTCCTACTGCAGGCTTGAGGAAATTAAATTACACTGAAAAATTCTTCAGTGGACCTTTAGATGTCCAGTTATCTGACTCCAGCGCCATTTGCAGCATCTTCAGATGTAAACAGTATGATTTATTAATTCTTAACAAAATTCATATTCTGAGAAAACTCATTCACTCATTGCTCATTCTCTGAATACCTCTACTGCCTTCCAAATGCAAATAACTTGCATTTTGTGATGATAGCATATAAATTCAGCCTGACAAAGAATGAATCTGTAAAATTTGTTACCTAGCCTTAGCTCTTCTCACCCCCAGCTGCAAATGGCTCCTGCACAAGCCCATGTAGATTGGTGCTGGTTTGAGATAAGATTTATAGAAAAAACTGCCAAAAAACATGTTAAATTATCCTTCCTGGGCTGCCTGGATTGTTAAGACTGCCAGTATTTAAAGCAACTATTAGTTCCAGCTCTCATAATTTGGAAATCTGAATGTCATTGATTGAAGTGAGCAGAAAAGATGGTTTGATGTCTGGACAAACAAGCACTCAATGCCCTTAAGTGAGAGCAGAGATGCCTTTGTCTCAGAAACATTCTGTCTATCAAGAACATATTGTTCTTACAAGCCATTTAAAACTATTGTTACTACTTGAAATCAAGAGTGTTTATAAACTCATTCAGTGAGGTGATTATTACAGTGTATTGATTACTAGAAGTGCCATTTAAGAGTGCTGGCTTTAACTTATTCCCACAGAAAATTATCATGACAAATGAAGACTTAAAATTAGTGCTGGCTTTAAAAGTCTGTGGTAGATAAACTGTAGGGTTTCCTTTTCTCCTGACCATAATGGTTGCTGAAACCAAACTTGATTGATAAGAACGCAAATAGTTCTACTTTTGTGTTTAATGTATTTTTCTTTTTCCTCCATAGCAATGCAGAACTTTCTGAAAAAAGATTTCGAATGAACAGCTTTGTGGCAGATTTTGGGAGATCTTTGGAGTCTGAGAGGGTCTTTTCTCACCAAATGGTTGAAGAATCCCAGTCACTTTTCCATTTCTGCATTAATGAAGTGGACCATATGAACAAAGAAAAAGAGAGTCAGAAAGGTCCAAGTCTGGAGAGTAATACTCACTTCCAGGAGGTTCCCAAAAGCAGTGGAACATTTGAGGAAGACCTACATTGTCTTACAAAATTTAACATTCCTAACTTTGTGAACACTGAGCAGAACTCTTCACTAGGTGAAGATGATCTCCTCATCTCAGAGCCACCAATCATTTTATAAAGCAAACTGGTTATGCAATCTTCGGATGCTTTATTGAAAAAATATTTTACTTTAAGGTAAACATTCCCATTATTGTCCAGTTTGAAGCCTTTCTTGGCCTCCTTGCTCTTCTGACAGAAGGTAATTCAGACATATGCTTTTTATTGTATGCAGGACTGGCTGTACTGATAGAACTGTTTAGCCAAGAAGTAAGACATTGAATGCTTTATTCTGATGCCTTCTGTGATCTAAAACTTCTGCTCAGTATTATTTTTGCTTTTTTATTTATTTTTTGTTTCTTTCTTGTATTGTTCTTAATTTTTAAATGACTACTTATGACCAGCTTCTGAGAGATAATAATTTACATGGACTGTGAAGGCTGGAGCCTGGCATTGGGAGGTCTATGAAAATTCATTGGCCAAGAAAAGTGCAAATCTCAAAGACTGAAGAAAGGAATAAACAGCCCCTGGGGAGGTTCTGTAGTTTCTGCTACTCCCAATAAGGATGCCTGAAGCTGAGCAGCACAATAAGTATCTGCTTGGGACTAACTTCAATTTCTGACCCCTAACTGCTTTTTGGCGCAGGTTAAACCAAATTTACAAAGCTGCCAGAGGGAATACCTTGGAAATGAAATAGTTTGGTTACAGTGTTTACAAAATGCTATCACTACCTGCTGCTGAGTAAAAGCAAACTGGTGCCTGTAATTATACGTCAGAATGACACCTCAGCAGCTGACCCATGATGACATGGAATTTGTATTCTACACACTAGCACAAACTGTGATTTGATTCTTTTTTTTTTTTTTCCCTGTTAATTGATGATATGAACTTCCAGTTCAGTAATTATAGGATTCAGTAGTTAAATCACAGGAAATAAGGAAAAAACCTATTTTTCTTTTGCCAATAAAGTTACTACATGCAGATGGTGGTGGTGGTGATATGTTAAGCTGGTGTTATGTGCTGCTAATAGGCTGAACCTTCCTATGCTTTTTGCCTTTATAAAAGATAATTTACTCATTGGCCAGTAAAGTGCTAGCAGGCTTGGAGCTGAGAGAACCAACTCCACAAGTATAGATAGCTAAGCTGTGCTTGCTCCATCTTTTGTACTCAATTTGGGACAGTGCTGCAACCCCAGCTGTCCTCCCAGTAAAAGATTTGGTAAGGATTTGAATAGGTATACTTTCAACCTTTATTTTCTAGAGATGGAATTAAGTTCTGAACCTTTGAGAGTATTTAAAATTGTATTTCAGTTGTCTTCTAAGGATGGCAACTAATGATTAAATGGTTTTAGAGCAAGCATATAAGATGCAGAGGTATCAGGTTCAAACCCTTTACTGGATTTCAAGTATGCTCTGCAGGAAGTTCTTAATTGAGATGAAAAGAGTGAATTCCAGACACTGTGCCTAACTGCATTTTCTTGAAATTGTTGTGCTTTGTATCAAACACATCTGTGTTTGAGGTTAGAGACTTGCTGATACATTCTTCAGTCAATGCTGATTAATTCATCCCTTCTTCACCTTACAAATAGAAAAAAGAATACAAACTGTGTAGGAAGAGTGCAGGAAACATCTTTTATGCCCTCATTACACACCACTTACACACTAAATTCCTATTTTCAAATGTAATTCTTGCAGGACTTGCTGGTGTTTAAAGCAACAGGATTACACTTAAAACAAAGCAGAGACTATTTAAAACTAGCAGGTTATTTTTGAAAATAGTTCCCAGAGGAGACTGAAATGAATGAGCACAGTTCCAGTAAAATATTTCAGGTGCAGAAAAGGCCTTCTTTCACAGGAACTACGTAACAACAAGTATGAAGGCTGACTTTTCTTAAATTTGGGAAATCTGTCTCTGAATATGGCATCTACTTTCTGCTGAGGCACCTCAATAACTATTAACTCTCTGATGTTTAAACTTTGAAGCTCAATATTGCTCTTAATAGCATGTGGGACTTGTACTAAATGGGGTTTTTATAGCTGATTTCTGGATGAGTGAGTTGCCTTCAGTACTGTTTGTGCTATTATTTTTATTTTTTTCTTTGCTGTGCTTGAAAACAGCAATGCTGCTTGAGGGAAGGGCAAATCTATGTTGAATCCATCTCCTTTGCATCTGAGAAATGAAGGGTACTTTAAAGGCATTTAAAACTATGTTTCATAGATCATTTAGGTTGGAAAAAGACCTTTAAGATCATTAAGTCCAACCATTAACTCAGCACTGCCAAGTCCCCCTCTAAATCACCTTCCCCTGTGCCACATGGCTTTTTTTAAAAAAAATAAAACACAACACTTTTTTCTTTTCCCATTCTTGAGTGGGTGACCCCACTGCTTTCCTGGGCAGTCTGTTCCCGTGCTCCAGAACCCCTTTGTGGGAAAAAAAAAAATCTCAGAAGTTTTAGAAGTTTCAAAATAATGCAGATGGGGTTTTAGAAAAAGAAGATGCTGCTACTCCCTGTAAGTTAGCCTATGCTTTTCTTCTGCTACCTTAAATCTCAGTGGCTTTTCTTTGGGAATATGAACTACTACTTAGGGGAGAAAAAGGAAGAATTTTGTGTATGGATACTGGCAATAATGCCTAAATGTAAGGTACTTAATAACATGAGCCAGAGCTGATGACAACTTAACTTATAACATTTGAATTGCATAGTTAATATCCTTCTGCCACATGTATTAATAATGTAAAGCTATTTAAGTGTTTGGTTTCTGCTTCTGTTCTTTCCTGATGATGTTTCTACTTTTTTCATCTTATCTCCCTTCTATATTTAAAGTCCTTCATGCTGCTTCTCTCAGAAAAATAACCTGTCAGTTCCTGCTGTAGAGCTCCCACACCACTTCACAGACACTTCAGTGGCAGCAAGTCTGATTCAGATTTTTTGCTCTGCCTCTGCCTTAGAGCCAAAGGCAAATGCAGAATCATTCTGCAGTCTCAAAACCAGCTATTTTAAAGCTGTCCTTCCTTCCTTTTTATTTTCCTTTTTAAGAATAACAGACATATTTTGCCTCAGGGGAAAGGGCAATATATAACCTGTTTAAAAAAAAATCATCTTTTCTCAGAAGATAAACACATTGGTGCACTAGAAACAGAATAGAAAGTGTTCTGATCAGAGTAGTCTTCAAAATGAGTACCTGGAATTTCAAGGTGTTTGAAAATTGAATTTTTTTGAGTTTTCTTAGTGCTTGGCCTCAAGCCTCTTCTCAAAACTCAGTATAAATGCATCACCTGCAGCAGATTTAACTGCAGAGCTCCTCTAAACCAGCTACATGTTTTTTCACCTAAACATGTCTTGTATTCTGTAAGACCTTATTAAGTCAAGTTATTTATCCCTGTTTTAAAGGTAAATACTTGCAAAATGCTCCTCTGTGTAAATAAATTTTAGTTATATCTTTAAAAAACAAAAGGCAAAACCCCAAAACCTATAATGTAAATCAGTAAATGCCTGCTCATAGAGAAGAGAATGGTAAAACTGTGATCATCTACAATCAAGGTGAAGTAAAAGAGGTATATTTGTCATGAAATTAAGTATGCACCTTGACCTTGAATACTGTAACACTGACATTTTTTGCCACTTTTTAGCCTTGGATATTGACAGGTAGCAAGGACAGCAGAGAAGAACCTTCTAGCAACACGTTCTCCAACGAACTGGCTGAGAACTGACTGTACAAATTGTAAAAAGTGAATTAACTACATGAACATTAGGGTAGCCCTCTCCTAATGACTGCAGGATCATACATGGGAGAGGGTTTCCAGTGACCAGAAATGATTCCTCTAGGATTCCTGTCCTAGGAATCCCTATCTAGGACCTGGCCTTTCTGGGAACACAAGGGCTGCAGTAGTTGAAAAAACATCTCTCACTTCAGGTCACACACTTTTAATACAGGGTTACATAAATAGCAAATTGTACAGGAAATAAATTAGTTGAAATAATTCAGTTTTTATCCTTTTCATGTGCAGAACAGATCCAAATCAAGAAAATGCATAATATTTACACATAGCTGATATTTTATACACAAAGCATTTTTATATTTACACGTTTTATGAATAAAGACTAATACTTTTTTAGATGGGGACAGAATAGAAATACTGAAAATACCTGGACAAGGAATAACCAAGCTTACCATATTAACTGGCAATGTCCATCCTTTTTTAATTACTATATATATATAATATGTATGTGTATACAGGCTCATTTTATGTTTGTGTGTAGGTCAAAAAGAAAAATCCTTGCACTTCAGCACTATGTCCATATGGTATAATTTGTTATACTCTTTTGTTTTTTATACATGCTAAGCCACATGCTTGTATGAGAGAAAATGCACATTTACTGCTGGTCCCTGAAGAACACAATATGTAAACACACACACACAGGCACAGACCTGAACTGTTTCACATCTGACTTAAACACTAGTTTCAACCAATACTGCAGGTCCTCAGGGACCTAAGGAGTACATTCTAGCTTTCATCTTCTGTTTGCCCTAAATAAGTACATTTGATTGAGATACAACCTCAATATATGTGCTTCAGAATTCTTAAGGGCTTGTAGCCAGCAAAACTTCAAACTAATAATGTACTGATTTATTGGGAAAGCATTCCTTCCAGCCACCAAATAGCCATCATCATCTATTTTGAATTTTTATTTTTAGTTGCTGCTTCTTCCTTTTAGCAGCAGGTTTTTCATACATTTTAAGTGTAATAGCCATGCTCATCATCTTCCCCCAGTCTCCTCTCTGGAGCTGTGCAGTTCCTATGGCTTCAGAGGTTCCTAGGGCTACATTTCCTGGAGTGATGATTCTTCTTTCCCTCCACTGGGTCCATCTCTTTCTTCAAAGAAGAGCCTAAAAGCGTAGCACTCTAAGGTACAGATATGTGCTGCAGTAGGAATTGCTCCTATGTACCTGCTCTACAGCATAGGTGTGTAACTAGGTCTGGGGAGAGGGAGAAGGCAACAGCCACCAACATTCAGTGTGTTACCTGCCATGATGCCTGTCAGCTCAGCAGAAAGTTACCTCCATGTTCGGTATTTTGGTCTGGCTTTTGGCTGGGTGGTGGTTCTGGTTTTTTGTTTTTGGTGGTGTGGTCTTGTTTTGTTTTCATTTTGTTTTCATTTTGTTTTTGTTTCCCTGGCCCCTTTCCTAACTTGCTCAATATTTTAACTCTAAATTTTCCCACCTACACATCCCTCAAGTCTGAGCTTTAGCACACTGTAATTACACCTGACTGGTCTCTATCTGTCAAGATCACCTACAGAGGTGCTTACTATGTCAGATCCTGAACAGCCCATTGTAAAAACCTTATCAGTACAGCCTTCCCTTTAAAAAGGGACACCAATAACTACTCTCACACTGTATTTTATAGGTTTTTTTCTGTATCTGCCCTGTAAGAATTCAGCTAGACCCACTCTGCCATCATTACCAGCACAATAGGAATTATGTGAAAAGGAAACAAAGAACAGCTTGAATCTAAGCACCAGCAGGGACTGCCTGCCCTGCTCCAGCCCTCCAATAATTCATTAAAGTGGAAAGAGGTCTTAAAGGTAAGTGAATGAATATTATATGGATTGGAGGGAGACAAGCAAATATTGGAAAAAGACAGTTTTCCTGCACTATGGAATGAAATGCATTTATGCTATAAACTAAACATAAAAACCAAACAGCTTACTACTCAAATTTTTTGCAAAGGAATCACTATAAGCCAGGTCAGAAATCAAAGTTAAAAATATTCAGGCATATTCTAAAGTCTGTGAAAGAAGAACCTTTTCAGTGGTAGTTGAATTTATGGAATAACCTCACTACTCCTATTAAAAAAATACACAAATTTATTACTAATAAAATAGAAGACATACAATATGACTAGAGTACTGCTCAATGTAAATCTGCCTCTGGACATGAGATATTTCAGAGAAGATCAGAATGCAGTGTGTTTTATACACATTACAATATTGATTTTCGATAACATTTTCTATACATAACTTAGAACATTAAAATTCTGCTGCTGTACTTAACTACTACCTAATCATGCCTTCCAACAGCTGTTTGTCACTCCAAATCCACTGGAATCAGGTGCAGGAATAATAACCCCTTGTTTCTGCAGTTCACGTAAAACATCTAGTATTGAATCCAATTCCATTCGAAATTTCTCCAGTTCCTGGTTCTTCTGCTGTGCCAGCCTTCGCCACTTCTCAACCTCCTGGTTTTGCCTTACTTCAGAAATGTGCTGTTTTAGTTGGGTTGCCTGCAAATTAGAAGAAAGTCAGCACTGTGATTTCCTATGCCAATACTCAGTCAGTGCTGCCACTTTGCAAAAATCTGCTACATCATTTCATCAGATGCCCTGTCTCAAAGCTGAATGCTCACATTAAGATGAAACAATTTGTACTGAATATTACAAAAAAATAATTTTGATAGCAATGAATTCCTTTAAATATTTGCATTAATGACAGAAGAGTAGTATTGATTATTGACTAATGAGTCCCAGGAGAATTTAACTTATCGTCTCCAAAGCAGCAATTAAATTTGAATATTTAAGACAAAGCTCACCATATAACATAAAACCCTCTACAAATCAAAAGAAACTTTTTGAATTGCCACTTAAATATGGTAATTAAAATAATGCTCTGCAAAACATGAATGACCATGTTGTAGCCTACAACTCTAGCTTTAAAAACCACAAGTTCTATAAATTAGAAATTGTCCTACGGTCACAAAGATCTGATGCTGCTGCAGATAAAGTTCTGAATAACTTTAACACGAATCCCTTACATAATCCTGTTAAATTACACAGCATAAGAAGTATCATCAGATATTTAAATCTCCACACCACAATTAATTGTAATAGACTATTTAAAGAAAGACTATCACTTGAAGACCATAATTATCATACTTGCAGTTTGATACTGGGGATAACCTGTTAACTTCATGCTCAGCAATTTCCTTTTCTACACTATTCATTTTAATGTAATTCATTTGGGCAACTGTTCAATGCCCCAGTGCTGATGGTTAAAGGAGAAAAACTAGAACAAAATAAAATTCAAAGCTTAATACACAACATGGGCAAGAGCACCACAAAAAGATGAAATTATTTAGTACTAATTATGTATATTATTATTTCTTTAAAAAAACACCCAAAACATTACAAAACATCTTAGTAAATACTATTGGTATTCAGTGGAGCTAGATAATGGAGTAGGCAGCAGCAAACACTCCACAGAAATGGTAAAGACATCCTCACATTATATGAAAGCAAATTAATAGCAAAAAATGAACTGTATTACAGTCACCTTTAGCAGAACAGAATGTGAACAAAAATAATGAAAACAACAGTGGCAACAGGATTTGTTTTTAGTCCAATGACTTGTTTCATGCACAGGTCTATTTTGAAAGAAATTAAATATCTGATACAGAAATGTACAAGAAATTCTTCTATGACAAAAAATCTGTATATTAAAAGTATATTTCTTGAGATCTGATTTTAAAATTTAAAACAAAATAAGATATTTTCTACACTTTCAACATAGCTGTTCTGAATAGGGCTGCTGGGACTACATAATTACAGTTCAATTAAGGAATCTATCATAGCTTAGATCTGCATTCCAAACTGTTGTCAGTTTTCAGTAGCTTGCTTTCACTGTGTAACTAAAGTATGAAATAATGATATTGACCTCAGAGGTCACACTGTCCAACCTCTGGAACAGCAAGGCCTTCAGACCAGGCTGCAAGGAAGTTACAGAAGTAATCTTAATTACCACAGCAGTGTCAAGCTGACCAGGCCTGCAACTACACTCATTTGCATTAGCAGCCAAAGGCAAAACCATGGCTGTATAAAAGCTACTTCCCTCCTGCAGTGTGAGCTAAATAAGCCTGAATAAATACCATAAAATTACAGTTAAACCGACAAATTGCTCTTCAGAAAGAAATGCAGTTACACAGTGGTGTACCTTTTGAATTTCATGCTCTCTTTCTGCATGTCTGCTCTCTATATGCTTGATTTTCTTTTCCAGGCACAAGAAATGTTTCATTTCAGGACTCTGGCTCTCCCTAGCCTCTCTCAGTTCTTCCAACAATTTTGTCACCTACAGTCAAAGAGAATTGATAAAAATTGTTATCATTGTGTTAGGCAATGTATAAACCAGAGGCCCTAAAAAAATGTATTTGCATTGTTTAATGATTACATCCAAAAGCTGTTGAAAGGAGGGCATAAAAGAGAAATCTCCTTTGTTAAAAAGCTTTAACAGGGACTCAGGGATTTATATTAGAATTTTTCATTTCTAAAAAGTAGCCTGAGGACACAAAAGTCGAATTCTCTTTGATAAATTCAGTTCTGTTAATAATTTTATGAAGGAATTGTGTTCTGTCAAATTTTATACTTCACACAACAAAAGCTAACAGAATATTATGATTAGATGTTCTTACACTATTCCTTATCACATCCAAGATACAGACCAAATATAAAAGATACCAGTGTATTTCTAAGGACTAAATTAATTAAAGATATGCTAGAGATGATTAGAAGCCTGCATCTAAGTTGAATAATTACCAGGTAAAATCAGCTTGACAATGACTTAACACTGATTTCCTAATCCTCCAGAAATTGAGGGAAGTTTCCTTATAAAGCCCTACTGGCTTACTCTCATTCTTTGCCTATTTTAAGTTACTTGATAGTCCTTCATTTAACATCCAAAGTGTATTTGATCACTCTTAATGTGTATAAGTAAACTAAAGTGAAAACTTCGGCATATTTGTCCCTTATGCTAGTCCTTAGCTTCCCTCAGCCAATGTATTTGAGAACTGCTAACCCTCTTCAAGCACTCAGCCACCCTTGGCTTTCTGCTGTGAACTCAAGCTGGAAGCATTATGTCTTCATTGTGTTGTCACTCTTATTGAGAAGTGACTCTAAGGCAACTTATTTCCATATTTTAAGGTGGCTTTCTGAAATAACAAGGCCTATGTCAGTGCATTTTTGGCTGTCCATTACTCCAGCAGCTTTTAACCTGTTCATCCATGTTTGTCAGAGGAGCAAGCCTTAGTTTCAAAAGGTCTGTGCAACTGAGTGTCTGCTGCTTGGCTGCTAAGTTGCCCCACTGAAGGGAAGGGCTGATGTGTGGCCTCAAGTATAAAGTTAAATACAATTAAAAAAATCATAGTGGAAAGATCTCACGAGGGGAAAAAAGCCCAGGGAGAAAATGGTGTCTGTGTATTTTGCCAGTAACTTAACCACGTCAAATACAATGCAGTGCTACATGCAGTGTTAAGGGAAAGAAGTACTCAGTTAATGGAAAACATTCATGAACAGCACTCCTCAGATTAGTATTCAAGTAACAATCTTCCAAGAAGCCTCAGGAAAAACTGTGTCTTTTTGGACATGCCACCATTTTAGACAGAGGACTCAATCTTATGACCACTGAAGTGCTTTCCCCTATCACTATTACTTTGATTTGCAGGTTTGGTTGTCTTCTCAGCAAAACTTATTGAACCATTTAATGCTTAAGATGTATTTTAAAAGAAACACAGAAGTTGTGCTAGAGGGCAAAAGCGAGGCTTGACATAGATATTTCTCTGTTCAGCCTTTGAAGGATTTCTGTAACAAGGATACTCCTTTACATTTTCTTAAATACCAGCACCTTGGAGTTGGCCTCTACCATGTGGGCCAGATTGGATGATCACTCTCTTAAACCATCACTGTCAATAATCTGTAAAGCAGTCATAGAGGAAACAATTAACATTTGTCTCACTGTACTCTTGCCCCGTTTTTCCAGGAAGAAGTATTACTTATACTAACACCACTGGAATGAAACAAGCTTTGTAAGGAAATCCAACATCTACATGAAGCCAAAGTCTCAGCCTCTATTCTGCAAACACAGAACATTATTTAATAGGACATCTTTTTTCCCCCCCTACAAACCCACAGTTTTATACAAGTACATCACAACAGAGGTGGAATTTTTACATGTGTAAGATAAATACCCAAGTAAATCTGAGTTTCATGAGATTGAGATTAATCACTTTTAATAACCCTTGCAGGTTAGAGTATTATCAAAATTAAGTTAAAATTAGAGATGTTCATACATCAAGGAGATGGTGAATGAAGCATAGGCACAATGCTGAGACAGTCTACATCCTCCTCTTGAGCAGGAGGTGCCAACAAACTGGCAATACTTCAAGAATAACAAAAGCAGAGCCAATGATTCTAAAAGTTTGAGCTAAAAATGGACAGCCATTTGACATAACATTAACCCAAAAGCAAAGATAAGAACAAGCAAAATTTTTAGATTATATGCTATTGATAGAAGTAAAAGATTAGAAAAAAAGTACTTTTCTCAAAACCCACTAAATTCCTTAACTTTTATAGCTAACTCTCCCTTCTTAAGACACATTAAGTTTCAGAGACAGCAGAGGACTAACCTAAGAATATAATTGCCTAAGTCAGTTTTATGGCAACGGAGGATGAAAAAAGAAAATCTTTTGAGAACAATAATAAAAAATCTTAATAAAGAGGAATGAAGAAAAAGTTCGTAACTCTCAGAGGGTATGAAAACCTGGATTAACCTGCTGATTAAACGTCATACGGATGTCAGACATTTCAAACAAAATAAAAATAATAATAAAAAGATTAAAATCAAAGAAGATCAAAGTTCTGCTCTGTATTGTTCCCCTGGTCACACAAGAAAAACCTTGCCTTCTCAGGGATAATTGATGTAGAAGCAACTGATGGAGATTTTGTTTCTAAGACTTATTTTACTATATATTATTTGAGACTTGACATGAATTAGGATGAAAACTCTTATTAGACTAAGGTACCCCCATTGGAATTTAAATTTACCTCTTTTTGTAGGAGCTGCTCTCTTATCTGTGAAACTAGAAGAGCTTCTTGACGTCTCTCTTGTTCACCAAGTTGTTCTTGAAGATGTTTTATTAATATCTACAAAAGGTTTAAAATATTTTTTTGTTAGCATACACACCCATGACAACATGTGAAAACCTAGGCAGGAGAAGTACAGAAAATAAGCAGCAATGAGAAAGCTGGGGCTGTTCAGCTTGGAGAAGAGAAGGTTGTGTGGAGCCTTCACAGCAGCCTTCCAGTATCTGAAGAGGCCTACAAGGAAGCCAGAGAGAGACTCATCATCAGGAACTGTAGTGACAGCACAAGGAATAATGGGTGCAGATTGAAAGAGGGGAAGTTTAGGTTACATATTAGGAAGAAATTCTTCACTGTGAGGGTAATGAGACACTGGAACAGGCTGCCCAGGAAGGCTGTGGACACCCCAAACCTGGCAGTGTTCAAGGACAGGCTGAATAAGGCCTTGAGCAACCTGGTCTAGAAGCAGGTGTCCCTGTCCACAGCAAGGGGGGCTTGTGAGTAGATGATCTTGGAGGTCCATTCCAACCCCTTAACATTCTGTGATTCTGTGATTGTAGTACTGCAGGAGTAAGTGATGTGTGTATTAACAACACTGCCTCCAACATGTGTGTATGCCTGGGCTGCTAAATAGCATGCAGGTACCTATGCAGTAATTGAAAACAAGCCTCAATCTTCAAATTCCTTTCCTCATTTTACAATGTTCTTAAATAAACAGCTCTTTCTACCCTTTATACCACGTGTAAAGCAGCCAAGAGAAGTGGTGGAATCGCTTTACTTAAAGCTACTCAAAAGCCATGTGGACATGGCCCTTGATGACCCTCCTGAGCAGAGCAGTTGGACAAGATGACCTTCAGCAGTCCCTTCCAACCTCAGCCATTCTGGGATTCTGTGAATACTGTGGCACAGAATGATTTTTAAAACAACAGATCCTACTTCAAAGAAAATACGTTTATAGTAATACAGAAAGAAATAACTTTAAGATATATCTACATGTAAGTAATATATCTACTGTATCTTACCTCCTGTGTTGAAATTCTGTTCTTTAGTTCAGCTACTTTAGAAGTAGAATGTTCCTTTGCATGCTGGCAAACAATCTTCTCGACTTCCCTCTGGTGGGAAGCTTTCAGAGATGCAATGTATTCTGCTGTGTCTTCCTGCATCCTGAACAGAGCAAGAGAAAAGTGAGATGTAGTAAAGCAGCTACAGACAGTTCTTCAAAAATGCAGCAGCTTCTCACTTGAGCACACAAAATAAAAAAAATGTTAAAGGTGGCATATCTTTGATGTTTCATAACAAAATCTTTCAAGACAGGATCACCATTTATTCTACTCCTACAGAAGGAGTAAAAGGTGGGAAACCTACAATGGTGGATATGTGTATCATCTAACTAGAGGCAGTTAGGATACAGAAAATTCAATCATCTTTTCTGGTTCCTCTTATTAAAACAGTGGCAAGAAAACAGATGCTTTTTAATCATAATGTACCTCTCTTCTTTTAGGTATCTATTTTAGAAAAGAACTTGTTGCAATCTTAATATGCTAATTTCTTCTGCTTTGTGAAGGGATGCAAGGGAGACTAATGCAAGTATAAGGTTTCTACGGTCGGCCAAGTAAATCCCACTGAAAGCATATCCCAGGTTTGAAGGAAAGAACACAGACCAAATATTAATGCTTATATTAATAATTAAAATATTAATACAACACAAAGCATCCAGGACATGATGATTAACACTGATATATTTTACTTAACAGCATAAGAAACTGTAGTATTAATAAAAGCATTAATACAGGTTTGCCTGTAGAAAGTACTGGGACAGTGCACTGCTAAAGAAAACCACAAAGTAACAAGAAACCCCCCTAAAGCCCTCCAAAAGCCAGGAAACAGTATAAATGAAGGTATAAGCAACCTTCACATATGGCTGACATGTTAATGTGCTACTTCAATCCTATGTTTGACAACACTTTAAGAAGGTTTTTAAAGGAATATGTCGAGCATTTACCTTCGGATGTTACTTTCAGAATAAGCCAGCGCTGCTTGAGACTTCACCCGCTGCTGGCTCATTTCTAGGGACAATCTCTCCAGCTCCTCTTTCAGATGTGCATTTTCTTGCAGAACTTCCGAGAGATGAGAATCAGAAAAGGTATGTGGTTGGTGTACTTTGTCATCATTGAAAATGCTTAGACAGGCTTCAGTGTTGGAATTCCTTCTATCTGTTGCTGAGGTATTCTTTATTGAGACCTCTGTAGAGTTTCCGTAAGTGTTTGTTTTATTTCTCAAATTATTATCAGACAACATCACCATCCTTTCTTTTTGAAGTTTCTCTACCGTTTTTGTGAGGTCTTGTATTTCTCTATTTTTACTGACCAGTTCTTCATTTAGTTTTAACAACCTGTCTTTTGTGTTACCTTGTTTCATCTTAGAGTCCATGGACTCTAAGTCTTTATTATCATTTTTACTTCTGAGTTTTAATTGGGAATTTTGACTTTTAAGATTTTCAATTTCTGTTTGGAGGTTTCCAACAGTGATCTGATGGGTTTTCTTTAAATTCTGAAGCTCCTGTTCAAGTTCTGCTGAAGTGTCTTTATCACCATTCAGTTTTGGTGTTTCATTCATAAATTCGTAGGCAAGTAGCTGCTCAAGCTCTGCAAGTCTTTGTTCATACTGTATCTAGGAGGGGAGTATAAGGCAGGGACAAAAAAGCAATTTCATAAGTGTACTGTTATTATTAGCTCTTCCTGTTATTCTTTAAAGTTACTGCCCATCTGAAAGAAGACTTCAGAAGACAGAATACAAATCAGGATTACTAACAAACTACTCAATCAGTTCAGAAATTAATTCTGCTGTAAAACAGGATTACATGAAACATTTACTACAAAATAATTTAATCACAATGGATGCAGTAAGTATGGGATAGAAAATTAGACTGACAAGAAAATATTTCATTTTTATGTAATTGAGTTCTCTTCAGATGCTACCAATGTTAATTTTGTCGTTATGTACTTGTTATGTCAGCCGGCAAACATTCATGTTATATGTCCAAAATTGTACTTTACATTTTTCAAAACATCTTAATTTTTAAAAGAACAGATCTTTCTTTTTAGGTGTTCATAAATATGTACACAGAAGGATGAATTCAGAGAGACACAAAATCTTTCCTCCTAATAAGCTGAGGAAAACCTAACCTTCTTAATAGCTTGGATGGCCTTTGAGAAAACTATAATGAGCAACTTGTGGAGAAAAGGTGGAACAACTGGCCAATGCTTTCTTTCTTGCTCATTAGGCACCTATGCAGTTCACCTTTTCCTTAAAGTAAAATGCCAGACTTCCACGCTTCCTAACCCGAGTCCTTAGGCTCACTATCACGTGATTTTTGGACAGTATGTTTAGTGATTCCCAATGCTCTCTGCAGAAATGCTCAGTCAGAAGACTTTTGAAGTCACAGCCTTTGGTACAGCAAGGAATCAGATAAGAAGCTACTCTGACCCACAGGGTGAAAACCACTTACCTTAATTATTAAATTATTATTATAATTAAATTATTGTGTCTCAAGAACATATTCTCTTTGTTTCAATACCGCCCTAGCAATTTCAATGCTATTTTTATCTTAGGTGCTGAAGGTGCTGAAATTCTGGTTCTAAATCCTTTGAGTATTTTGTTCCCCTTGAATGTGGCCTTTGCCTTCAGTTTTAACCACTACCCTGTCTTAAACATTTGTGACTCTTACTTGCAAAATGGACAACTCAACTTTTACCTTTATTTTTTGAAACTGTTGTTCCATGGCACGGAGGCTTTTCTTAGCTTCATCATCTTTACCTTCAAGTTCTGTTTCTAATTTCTTTATTCTTCTCTCCAAAAATTCAACTGTGTTTGTTTTAGCTGAAAGATCATTTGTTTTCTCAGCAGCAGCAGCAGCAAAAATCAAAGCAGGCAAGGAATTTGGATACCTTCTTTTTAGAATTCCTTCCATTTCTCTGATCTATTCATAAGAAAATTAAGTCAAAGGTCAAAAATAATAAAGTTCTAATGAAAAGGTAACAGAAATAAATGACAGAATGTTAACAAATTTCAATCAGTTAAGGTGGAAAAATGAAAACTATAGATGCACATACTGAGAATTATTTTATGTTCCTCCCATTTATGTTTTTGTTTACAGAAAATCCAGACTCATTGTCTCTTACTGACTAACTTACACATGATCTTAAACAAAATATTGCTCTGGTCTTCAGATTGCCTTATGTCAATAGTATAAAGAAAGTCAAAAAAAGGGATTTGAGTATGGTTCTTAATGTTGTGAATATGCTTTTTTTCTGGATTTGTATTCACATTCTACTTTTCCAACTGTTAAAGATATTTCAGAGCAATATTGGAATTATTGTCCCAATAACAAATTAGATGCCTTTTATTTTATAGTCTGCAATAATATAAAACTAATACTTAGCATGCAACATTAAAAGTCTCCCTTTTATCTATGGATAAGATATTCATATCAGAATTCTGCAAAAGCTCTTGCCCATGACAAGAGCTTGCCCACATCCCTAACTAAAGCAACCGCCACCTCCTAAAATTCTGGAAGGTCCACTTCCACTTTTTGTTTCTTTGGTGGAAATACTGGAATCCAAAATAATTTAAACCCCTATTCTTGAATCAACTTGGCTGAAATTCACCATACTGTTAAGGAATTACTGAACATGGACAGGAGTCTTAGAGGATAGACAGCAAGCTTTGGCTTTTGCCCTCTTGCCCCTTTCAAAGAAACTCTGAGAGTTATTTTAAAGGATTTTAAAAGGGATATCAGCTTGTTAGAACACAGTAGCAAGAAAAGCTCTAAGTAAATAATTGCAGCTTGTTGCATTTATAACACAATAACACAAGTTCAATTGTTATTGTGTTCAATAACACAAGTAACTTTATCACAGAACTTCATGCCATGCTTTATCCTTACGAAAGCACTAAGGTTTTAAGAGACCTTATCTGAAACAAAGGTTAAATGAAAGACAGTTCTTTTATTGCATACCTGTCGCTCAAGATCCTGAATTCTTTTAGCATCTGCTGCTCTGTCTCGCAAACGTTTCTTCTGTTGCACACACTGATCTCCTGCTTCAGCTCTGAGCTTCTCAACCTGTCCAATTTACAAGGAGATAAACTGAAATACGTATTCAGAGACACTGTCCTGTATTACAAAAGCATTTCAAACACACACAATACAGTGGAAGTATTCTGCCACTTAAAAACTCGTAAAGGTAATTTCAGTACTAAATGATTCTTCTGACTCTTAACCCACATGACAGTTTCCTTCTCCAAAGCAACTGAAACTAGATATGGAAATCTGAAAGAGAATTTCAGGTCTGGGACACTCTTGTCTTCAGTAAAACTCTTTCTTTCCTTCATACTGCCAGTATGCAGGCTTGATTAATAAGCTCTCATATAAAGTACTACAGTGCATTCCATGATTTCAGGATGAATTTAGGAAATGGTTTGTGATTTGCAATGCTACACTATGTGGTGAAATATAGGAACAGCCAAAAGGCAACATTATGCAGTGCCTAAATAAAAGCTGAATCCCTGAATCAGGGGAAGGAGGGCCTGGATAATTCACATTCCTGCACTTCTAAGTCTGGCCATGAGGACTCAAAGCTATAATCTAAAATTGAATTCCCTACCTTTATTAGCCACTATGATCTCTGTACAGGGATATTACACCCTGGATATTTAAAAATATTCCTATCTTGGATTCTCTCCCACATCAGTAATATTAGCATAAGTCATGCTTTTTATGCCAGCATTTTATAGTTTGACTGATTTGATTATTTCTATGAAGTCACAGCTCTAGGCACCAGAATTTTTATACACCAGTCCAGCCCAGAGAAAATGCCAATAAAAATATTTTCTTTCACAGGAATGGTATTTGATCAAAGTTTGATATGAGGTGTCTTCTGAAGGCTGCTCCTTCAGAAGCACCTCCTTTCATCTGCGATCTCTCTAATAAAACACCATTAAAAAATTCCAAGATCAGTTACATTTTAGCATTGGTAAAACTTTCTGTTTTGTTGGTTTGTGAATCCTAAGTCTAATGTACTGACAAGTAGACAATGTAAATCTCAGCAGTATTCAAGATTCATGTATTAGTTTTGTTTTAGATTTCAAGTGTTGGGTTTTACCTCCCTACTGCTGTAACCAGGGAGTTTTTCCTAAGAAAGAATTTAGAACTGGCACTTAAGAGAAAATAAAAGTGTTGCCTAAGTTACTCTGGAGCACAAAGGAGGGAAAGAGAATGAGAACAGAGGTGAGCCTGGTTGTTAACATAACAATATACTTCTTTCCCTTAGGTCAAGAAATTTGAAGAATTTAGAGAAGCATGTTACTTTTGTTCCCAGAAGCATAGCCAAGATGTCCAAGAGAACCAATCTAATATATATTAAAAAAAGGGATTATTATGAACGAAATAATTACATTATACTCATCACTGGAAAAAGAAACAATTTCCAGTTCCAACTTTTACATAAAGCTAGATATTATCACCTCTAGTCTTAGTTTTTCAACTTCTTCTCTTGCATCTTTAAGACGGGCTGCATCTTTATCCAGAAGATCTTGATTTTCTGCATACCACTGAAGTCTTTTTTTTAAATTAGTAATTTCCTGTTTGTATGACTCTTCCATAACTTTAAATTCATAAGACTTCTCACCTACAAAAATAAAAAATTCTTAGAATTGTTTTATTAGTAATTGTGTATTGAAAGAGTAATTAGTCAACACTGTCTTCCTCAACATAATTCATAATTTACCATTTTGACAACACTGTTACTATAGTAGCTTTAAAACCAGATCCTAATTAGGATTTTAAAAGCAACAGTATTTGTAAAAACCCCTTTATTTCTCTCATACATAGCAGTACTCAATGGCTTACAGTTAACCACAGAAAGTATTTAAAACAGAATCTATTCTTGATCTATTCTTGATCATGCTCTAGTAAACCAACCTTCAGCATCAAGATGAATGACAACGTAGAATATATGCTTAGATGTGTATTGATCATATTCCTCCCATTAAGGGTTCAAACATTTTCAGAAGAGACATGGAGGTAAATAGTACTGCACTCAGCATTTGTGCTACCTGACACTGAAACTGAGTCAATTTTGACCCTTCTCACATTAATTCAAACTGGAAAAAGCCTTGGTAAGAATACTGAAAAAAGTCCCAAGGCATATGTTATAGGTGAAAAATGGGCAAGATCTGAATAGGAGACTTAGATGTAACATAGTAAATCTTTTCTTATGAACAGAGAATTATTGAAATCATCTGTTTTCCATGTCTAGTGAAAGATGGGCAAGAAATCAAACTTAACAGGTCATAACAAAGAGTTTGCTTGGATACAGGAAGATACTTTTTAATAGCATACCAGAAGTACTGCAGCATGCCCTTCACCGTATGCTTTTGTTAGACATTGTTTGGACATTGTTAGACAACGTTTGGAAATGGTCTAGATGCATTTCACTAAGCAATACATTATTAAGAAACAAGTTTTTGTTACATATTTATTACTGAAATGCAAACTAAGCAAAATTATTCAACAAAATGAAGGTCCTTTACTTGATGCAGATGCAATCTGGACTTTTGCTAAATCTCTCTCTTTCTTGGCTTGTACCAAGTCTACCTCAAGAGCTTGTTTATCTTGTTTTAGACGTCTTATCTCTTCTTGTAATTTAGCTTCTTCTTTCTGGGTTTTAGAGAAAACATTAAAAAATGAAAAACTAAACACGTAATATCACACAAAACCCCTTGCATGCCTTTTCATCATACAACAATTAAATCACAAAAGTTGCATCCGACCACAGCAACAATAAGATCTTTTAATTTTGGTATTATTCTCAGGCCCTGCTATAGCAGAGCATGGGAAAACATGCTAAACATAAAAACAAACCCCCGAACTCCAGATTTTTTAAGCCTTACTTAACTGTCATAGAAGTAGAAAACATTTGCCTTTTGAGAGGGCCAGTAAAGAAAATGGCTTCTGAGACTGAAGACTAAGCTACATGGAGAGATGTATTGTCCAACAGTTCACCTTACTACATTCTACCTGCCATTTTCTTCAGGCAGTCTCTCTTCTTTTTGCTACACATGAACACTAACAAACTTCAAGACCAAGTAGGACAAAGTGTCTCGGTGCCAGAGCCACCTCTAAAGATGGAGCCCCTTGATCCTAAGTATGCATAGGTACAGCAAAGATCAGCTGGGGGGCTGAGATTTTGGGAGCAGCCAGTAAACAGACCGAGTGTCTAGGCATGTGCATGTAGGTTTGTTACTGCTAGTGAGCTCCTATCCTGATCTGCTGAGCAGGCCACATCAGGCCTGTGTGCTCCTCATGTTTCCAGCAGTTATTATTTATATTTCTGTGCTACAAAGGCACTACTCTGTGATCTTATAGGCTTGGTATATACCTACCTGTGCTGCTCGAAGCTCTGAAATCAATTCTGTGAAACTCTGATTTCTGGCTGACTCAGAATCCTGCACGAGTTGTGACTGGTTATTGGTCTTCTCTATCTTTTCTCTAAACAACAATAGCAAAAGCAGTTATGCAGAGTGGTGACTCAGCATACTCTCAGTGGCTACTGAAAAACAAACACAATCCCCTGCCCTCCAAATTGTACCACAAAGTCAATCTGTGCAGGTTCAAAACAAAAAGAGAAGCAAACATGCACAACATTTATATACAAACAAAATTCACTGTAAGGTGAAGTCTTCTCACCTCGCATGAACTAGTTTATTTGGACTACACAAGGGAAAGAAATAAAAATCGACCCTGCATCAGTGGAATTCATTTACAGGCCTCTCCAAAGCAAAGATCTGTAAATTAGGAGTACACACAATTGCTAAGTTGTTTTTCCTCATTACTAGCACAGGATGCAAAACTCACAGGACCTGCAATGCAGTGAATAGAATGGTTTCTGCATTAGCAGAGCCTCTTGTGCCCCTGATCTACTGTGTATCTTACAACAGCATCAAAACATCTTAACAACATCAGCAGAGCCATAATATCAGAACAAGTGTTGTATAATGTATTATTATTCATTCTGATATGAATAAGAACACTGAAATATTTCCCAAGTGCAAGTCTCTAGTCTTCCCATGGGTTTGCAACACCATCAAGAAAACAAAGAATTAAGTGCCCATAATCAACACAAGTCAATTCTCAAAAGAAACAAAACCACAAACCTGAGAAACACTAGAAAACATGCATCTGATAGACTCTGCAATGGTGTAGCATAAAAAAAAAACCAAAACAGCAGAAAATTCCAGAGATTTTGGGTCAGATATGTAAATAAGCCTACCTTAAGTGTATTAATTCAGACTTTATGCACTGATTCTCCTTAAACATTCGTTCTTCATTTTTTTTATTTTGGATTTGTAGCTCTTTCATTTGTTTGTATAACCTCTCATTTTCCTAAGTTGAGACAGACAAAGTTAAAGAATGTTCATAAATGACTGTTTTCTACAATTATAAAACAATTTTGTACGAATCACAGTTTCCCTGCTGAAACAGTGGAAGAAAATGCTACATATTTCATTACTGACCTTCTAAAATGGGTATCTACTTTCATTATCTACAATCTCATCCAAGTATCTGCTCACTCTGCAGGAAAGAGCTAAGACAGATCCTCCACAACCTATCCCAACTATATTCTAAAAACATGTTCATGGGTGGGTGCTGATAAATCAGAGCTCAGCCTGCCCATGCTCCAGTCCTGGGGGCACAAACCATCATTGTTTAGGATGCTCACAGCCATATTGGAAAGACATTATGTTTATATCAAGGAACTATGCTGAGCATCAGCTGGAAGCTGATTAAGCTACCTACTGGATTTTACAGCTGCAAATATTCAAAAGGATTACTAAGCTTGAATTATCTATTTCTCCACTTGACTCAGTAATACAAATCAGGCATGCTAATAAGGTTGCCCTGAAATCTGCTGCTCAGACCTTGAGAAAAACATTTTAAAAAACAAAATGTTTTAGACTTCTTATGTTGCTTAAGTGTACTGATTTTAAATTACATTTGGGCAAAAAAGTTTGTGGTTCTTCATTGACCATAAAGTATTTTCCCAGTTCTCAGCTGAAAAGTTACTGATTTTTACAATTTAGAACATTTATGTGGAACTGTGGAAAAACTTAGTCCAAACTAGATGTGTGAAAGACTTTTTAAATCTGCAATATATTTGCCCTTCACACCCTTCCATCCACCTTTTAGAAAACAAGGTACTTGTTTTCAACAGAAAAGTAGTAACCATTAAACAATTTTGTTTCTGAAACTGGATAGAACACAGCTCAACATGATGTGTGGTGTTACCTGTTGATAACCTTGAATAATGACCTCTTGATCTTCAATCTCTTTTTGTATTTGTGCCAGTTTTTCCTCAGTTACAGGAATTGTTGCTGCATGGGTCGACCTCTTTTCTTGGGCCATCTCTTCCATATTTCTTAGCTTTCAGAAAAAGGCACACAAGCAATAATAAAGTTTTGTTAGCAATATGCAATTTTCTACAAGACTACAGTCCATTCTCTTCATTAAGCTATGTGAGCAGACCAATGAGTGGCTCTTACTGGAGTTTCACAGAAGCATTACAAAACAGAAAAAAAGTATACAGTGTTTGGGAAAAGCTAGAAGTTTCTGTTCTCATGTGTCTAGAAAAGAGGGTACATTACGAAGCAGGGAGTTATCTGCAACAAGGGTATAGTGGAATAAGTGGGAATATTTAATACAGATGAAACACAACACTGAAAAATGCATCAAGAACTATAAACAATATCTCAACATATTACCTATAGTATTTATCTATAACAAGTGGTATCTGTGAGAGTGAATTAAATCTTTGCAAAAAGCTTGCTGCAGGACTGTTGAAATAGCAACATAAGGAAACTCAGGATAACATGGTTTATCTCCAAGGGAAAAAAAAAATCATGTCCTACAGACAATAAATGTAACAGCAGGTATGCATTTATAAACTTGCAGTGTCTGTGTAAATTTGGATTTTCTGCTCAGCAACAACTCATGTAAAGTAACACTGATTCAATTTTCAGAAGCAGTATTTCTTCTCTTCTATAGGCACAGGATACAAGATGATAAAGTACCTTGCTCTGAAGAACATAGTTTTCTTGACCCAGATGGGAAAGCTCCTTCTCATGCTGTGTTTTCAGTTCCACTACCTTAACCTCCATCTCCTTCTCCTTTTGTGAAAGCTTACTGGCCAGCTGTTGAACCAAATCCCGAGCTGTGTTCAGGTCCTCCTCTGCTGCTTGTAGTCGTTTTAACAAATACAGCTCTCTATCACAGCTTTTGAAAGGGGAAAATGGTAAGTCCTAGGGTAGACAATTCAGGAAAACATTACACTGAGCTGATTGTTTACCAAAACTCTGCTCATCAGTTTTATTTAACTAGTTTGTCTGGGTCTCAGAAAAGCACTTGAAAAAACAACCCAAAATAGAACCCTCCCAACATTTTAATAGCAAAACTTCCTATATTTATTTTAATGAGCTACCTTCTAATTTGCAAAATATATATGAGGAAAACAAGACAAAAAACACAACAAGAAACAAATACATCCCATATGACATATATTGCTACCAGAATTATCCTATTATGCATCTTACTTTTAGAAAAGCAGCAATGCTTTAGGTATTCAATGAATAGCTTTTTCATGCAGTTAATAAGGGAGAAGGAAAAACCATTATGGTACTGTAAATTCAGTCATCTTGGAGAAGTCAGAAGGTACTATTAAATATTTAATGCAATGTAAATAGGAAAAAATCCCTGAACAGTAGTACTGTTTAAACATTAATACCAGAATATTATACGTAGAAGTTCTATTTAACCTTAACAATTAAATAGTAATTTTTAGAATTTAATAAGCAACTTTAATTATATAGAACTGCCGAAACAACAGCATTATGCAAGCAACTGAAGAGCAGTATGATTATATTTGTGTATTTTAAAAGCAAAAATTAGTGTTTGACCAAAGGGAAGTCTTCATTCAGTATTTCAGTACTTGCCAACCTTGTGATAACTGTTAAAATCCTTGAGAAAATAAGCTTGCAAACCAAGTTATACATGCTATAATTAAGAGCATCACTGATTATTACTCACATGATGATACTGCCTGTTATAATCCCCAGCCTGGTGTCCAAGATTACTAACAACTGATTTGCCACACAAAACTCTGTTAATACTTCCCTCCAAAGCTGGTTCATTTGTTGCAGATCTTATTATCCTAGTAGCAAATAAGGCTTCTTCATTTAGGCAGAAAGTAAAATAGAACAAATTAAATTCAGAATTTTATGTCCTTTAAGAAAATTATGTATTCATGTGATACAACCTGTAGGTATATAAAGTATTCTACAACCTGAATTTTGAATGAAATATAGAAACTTGACAACAATTATATACTATGGAAAAACTGGAGGGTTTTGGTTTTTTTTTTCAGTAAGGAGTTGATGACAAGATACAACAAAATGCAAGAGAAAAACTGAAACAAGTAGTTGGGTAATAAATCCTTCATGAAATAAGGTTAACCTCACTCCTCCACTTCAGAAGTGGCCAGTTACTTAAGTATACAGAAACACAACATATTTCAAGCTATGAGGAAGATAACACAACAATTTTCAAAATAGACTCTGGAGTGCAGACAGCATAGAAAGAAATGCAACATTTATTTGCTTCATCAAATAACGACTTGACTGGAATAAGAAATCAGGGAAGTTCCCCCTAGAGTCACTAATATACATGGAACTGTTCACATCTCAGTCTTCTGAAATACAGATAGTAACTACAACTGCCATTTCAACTGCTTCTGCTTAGGAATGTTACACCTGAAAAAAACCCCATCAGACAATGATTCTTTTCCAAATTTCTTGTGTTTTTAGTGTCACACACCCCTCAGAAAGGCGCTTGCTTAGCACTGATGACTTGGGAATTGTTTGATTCAATGATATTCTCCCCTTAGCCATACTTGTCATTCACTTTACCATTTTCACCAGGCTGTAAAAACCCTCTCTTCCCCAGGCAGAGACACAACAATGTACTGAGGAACTGAGATCCTTCAGTTCAACACCTGCCACTGAAACATCTTCCTAAGACAGGTAATGTACTCCTGAACTGCTTATCCTGACTACCTGCAGGGTTTTTAAAAAGCACTGCATGCTAGAAGTGCACTAAAGCCTGGGTACCCGTAGAGTTACTTGCCCATGCCTCTGGGATAGCAAACATTGTCTGCAAAGACACTAAGCTGAATTATCTCATGAAACTCTTCAGGCTTCACCCCAAAATGAAAAGGTTCAGTCCTCTACTTGCAACCCAATTTTCACAGAATTACACTGCTATTCTCCTTTCCATAGTGTTTCCAAGAGACATGAATAGAAAATAGGACTTCCTTTTTAGTACTTTTTTTGTACTCCAGGAAAGCAAAGATCAAAATAAGCTGAGAACAGGAATTCAGCCTCAAACATACAAGTAGTGAGTCAGTGAATCTTTGCATTTACGATCATGAAAAATGTCACCTTGTAGATATTAATTTTTGAACACCAGCTTTTTTAATTCTTTTGGTCCTACTGGTGAACAATAGGTAAGTCTCAAACACAGTGGTGGTAAATGTGAGTGGAAATGAAGCAAGACTACAAAGATTTATATAAAAGTCTCTGTCACAGCAATTTCATGCTAATACATAAAAGTATCAGTACTTAACTGCATTTGAGTTTAGATTTCTCTATGACATTTGGGGTATTCTAATGTGAAGCACAAAAAGTAAACCTCTCTGGCTCTTAAACTCAAAATTAAAACTCTTAAAACTTAGAATTACCTTTAGATTTTGCTCTATCTGCAGGACTTTTGGCTTTCATACAGGCATTTTTGAAAGTTTCTTTTGGTGTTTTCTTTTCACTAACTGGAGAAGACTGCTTTGAAAATAAACTGGGTTTCCCATAGCCAGAAGTTCTAACCAGTCCATGAGGACCATGTGAAGGTTTCTTTTTATGTACAGGTGCTGGACTTCTGATATTCTTATATGACATTGGTTTGTTTGTCATTGATCCTGATCTTTCATTCTTCAAGGAACAAGACCGAAGAGCCTGTGACAGAACACAAATTTTAGGCTCTGCTGTAAACTGAGGTATCATTCTCCAGTGAAAAACATTGAACCAGTTACCAAAATTACACAACTATAAGACTCAGGGTGATGGCAAGCATTATTTTTAACCAAATTAGTAGTAAGTAATTTTGCAGAATTGTACTACTTCACAACTATACAGGGCAAGTGTTTTGTAATGGCTCTGTTTAACTGATCTGGGAAATTTATTTTAATTGTAGTGTACATTACAGGATCTTTTGCTTAACAAATAAGGTAGTTCATGACTAAAAGCTAATAAACACAGTGAATACAGAAACCCAGCCATGAAGAAAGTAATAGTGGTAGGCAGAGGAACCCTGCTAAATCTGATCATTGAAAACAAAGCACACAACTCCCAACACCAACAAATAAAAATGTTTCGCCAGTTCGCCCTAGTGGGCAATCCACTGGTATAAATCAGCCAAACCTCTGTCCCTACAATGCCTTGCACACACAAGAGATGATTGCCTAAAGGAGTGTGAAGCTAATTTAGGGGATGCAAGGAGGAAAGAATTTGGGGATTCAGGGAGAAGATTTGGGATTATGTAAATCTTGCTCTGGAATGTCTGAGATGATTGTAGGAATGTGCAAAATTTACAGCATCTTTAGGGAAAGAACAAAAAATAGGTAAAAGCAAGTCTGGGAAATGGAGAAAAAATCAGATTAAAAAAGCTGGTGACATGACCAGGTTGCTGGTCAGCACGCTTGTCTGACTCAGCTGGACACTGACCACTGCAGTTTCTTCTATATTCTTACTGTACTTAATTTCTAACTGTTCTCTCTGTACAATTGTTCTGTGTTCTGAGCCTGTTGTGTGTTTACATGTGTCCCTCCAATGCTCACATGCTCAGAGACATCACTATCTTGAGGATATCTTGCTGGAGATGTGGCATTGAAGCAGCCTTGCACATATTGGGCTGGGACAAGAAGAATCCCACTGGTCCCAATGTCCACTGGATTTGGTGACCTCCATCAGTAGCAGTAGCAACAGGAGAATTTCAAGAAAAAGAACAACAGTCTCTCAATTTCTTAACATCAGAGCATAATCAAGTGACAGGTAGTCTAAAATACATACCTTTAAAAATTACTTCCATATAACAAAAATTTGGCTGGTAATACTTACTTTTTTAGTTTTGCTTCCCTGTGAAAGCAAAGAGTCTTGTCCTATTTTTTCTCTTAGTATATCAGGCTGTTCTTCAATGGTCTGAATTTTTTTCTCAGTCATCCTCTGAAAGGCATCGTCATTCACACTTCTCCGTAGAAAGATGTTTTCTTCTCTGTTAAACTTTTCAATTAAGTTTTTCTCCCAAGCTGCATTACTCTGGGGGTCTTCAAGGGGTGAGTGGCTAATGAGATCATTTTCTGTGCTGCCTACCAGTTTCACAGGACTACAAGAAAAAAAAAGTCATATATAATAAGACTTTTGCCCTTTGCTTTTTTATCAGTCTGGAAAAAGCAGAACATTTTTTCCTTAGGTATCAGCTGTAAAGACTGCCTGAATTTCAAAGAGCTACTAAGCCTCTTTTAAGACCCATCTTGCAGATTTAGTCATACAGGTTTGGCTCCCATGCTGTGTAAAAAGAGCCACTTCCCAGCAGCTGTTTTTGTGTAGGTAGCAAAACTGGCTACAAGATAAACACCTGTACGCCTGCAATTAACACAAATAAAAAAAATGAAGAAGTATTTCTGCTGAGTGCAGCTATGTGATAAGCTCCCTGAACTCCTCTGCTAAGCATAAGCTGTATTTCTGACAGTTCCAAGGCCTGTGCTGTCTGCTTGAGACAGAACAGTTGCAGCAAATAAGGGGGATGTATAGACTACAAGTTAGTAAGAATCACAACAGTGGGGTTTGATCTTAAGAGGATTTGAATTTAAGATTATGGAGCTTGGAGATAGGATAGGATAGGGTGTGATTAAGAGCTAGGGTAGGATGTGGGCTGAAATCCTTGAATGGAGAAGGGGAAAGAGTGAAATCCTTGAATGGAGAAGGGGAAAGAGTAGAAGACTGGGAAGGCAGAGAGCCTGGCTGTGAGAGTGATGAACACTCCTCCAAATTATTTGACAAACATGGCTGCTTATTACCCAAAGTAAGTATGGGAATCCCTGGTCTATACCTATTAACACTGCATAACTCATTTAACAGTTCACTGCAAATGCCATAATGCCAGTGACAGTAGGTAAATCTAAATAATGAGAAATAAATATAAAATAAATTAAGTAACAACCTAGAAAAAATATTTGTTGCAAGGACATTTAAAAATGTTTCGTAAATGGAGTATTATAGATATTACTAGCTCACTTGTTTTACAAGCTTGTACAATACATGCCTCCCTTTGAGCTATTTACCTGAATCAACAGTTGACATGTTTTTTGCATAGATGTCATTATTTTGTGAACTGCTTTGCCCTAAGCCTTCTGAGAGTGCCACTGCAGAATTGTGCAGCTTTTGCTCATCAGTGTCTCCCAAAGACTGACCAATGTGATGATACGCCTGGTGTAATGCTTCCATGTCACTGGTGGTTTGCCCACAGGAAGTACCTGAAAAAAAAGCAGACTTGTAAGAGACACTACTGGTTTTTCTCTTTAGGGAAACATCCCTCTTGAGCCTGTGTTTCAGTTACTAGCTCGGTCTATTATGTGGGGAAAACAGTGGTATCACATTAAAAAAAAAAAATTAAAAATCTCCTTTTTTCTATAAAAAGAAACAGTTGCCAAGTTAATTAGTGCCTACTAAATTGTCTCATCTACAGTTTGCATTCCTCTCCCCCATTCTCTCCCACCTCAATATTTTAACACTACTAAAATTAACATTATAAAATAATATACATACACACAATATATAAAATTATATGACTATTTTAACAGGTGCCATCACAGCCATAATCTGGATATATGTGACCTGTACCACTGTGCAAAGTTTGATAAGAGAATGTATTTAATAATTCAGTTCAGTGCTGTCAAAGAAAAATTTTAGATATGAGAAATAACCAAAGAAGATGGTATTTAAATATGAAAGTGCAGCATCAAAAGCTACTTTGCAATAACCAAGTGTAAAAAGGGGTCTTTTTAGCAGAAACATCACTTTTCCTGAAATGTTTCCTCATGTTTCAAGATTTGTTGGCAAAAGCCAAGGACTTCATGTTCCCCAATAATCAAAGAACAAATGAAGACACTGAAGTCACCTATTTTAATAAAGTAAGATTTCAGGTTTTGAGTTTTGTGATGTGGTGGGGTTTATTTTGGTTGTGGTTTTTTTTTGTTTTTTGGTTTTTTTTAAAGCACCTCTTACCTGCTTCATTTATTTCAACTGCACTGACTTCTTCAGGCTGATCATGTTCACCTGGAGCTACATCTGATGTTTCAATGGCCTTCTGAAGTTCTACCGTGGAATCTTGTGAATCAAGCAATACAACTGAGAAGATAAATGTTAAAGAAAACACAAATCTTATTTATACTTCATCACATTGGAATTAAAAGTATACCAGAGCTTATCTTGATGTCTTAAGCATACAAAAAATACTATGTAGATTATTTTATCGCCATTAATGGAAAACAAATGAACTCTGATTACAAATTTGAGTTCTGAGGAGATGCAATAATTATAAAAGTACATTGATAATCACCTTTAAGTGTTAAAAGTAGATTATTTTAACTATTTCAATTCAACATATTTTCATTAGAACACAATATAATAAGGTGAGAAATACCAAAATAGTAAAAATAAAGTAAGCAGGTTTCAAAAAGTTACATTTAATCTTCTTCTACGGATCAAAGTTTATATTTTACCTTTAGCCAGCATGCCAGTGTTTGCTTCTTCCTAACAAAAAAAAACAAAACAAAAACCCCAAACAATTACTTCTTGAACATCAGGGGAAAAAAAGAAATTGGACAAACTTTAGAAGTTGGTCCAATACCTAAAAACAGTTTTTTGAACTTAGAACTAAGCAGTTATTCATTCTCCAAGAATAGGCACTTCTCTGAAACCCTTCCTGGGACGCCAAAAAGTTCACAACATCCTGTACTCTATAAACCTTTTCACAAGAGAATAGAAATTAAATGCTCCTCTGCATAGAGGAGCATTTTTGCAGCTTTCTGATTTTCTTTCATTGTAATTTGAGAAAAGAAAGTAGCAGCAAACACATTATTTACAATTCTGTTCTAACATTTCAAACATTTATTAGATATACCACTCTAAGAAATTTACTTAAAAAGAACTAAAAACCAAATAAGTTTACCTAGTGAAAATGAGTACATGGTGCTCTATAAATTTCTTTTCAAAAAAAAACCCTAATCTGAACATGTGCTCCAGGGATGCACCTATGTGCTCCAACCACATGTGCTACACATCACAACACCTGACTAAGCCAGCTGTGCCCTCACAGCTCATACAGTGAAGATTTTTGGGTCCTCTGTCCTCCTCTGTACAGAATTACTTCCAGTAGTCTGTGTCACTTGCACCTTAATAGCTCTGAGAGATTAATCACTAGCCATTCTGAGGCTGAGTTTCCACCTGAGCTCATCATTTGTGCACTTCCACCCTCATTTCTCAACTCAAAGGAGGAGTAAGCAGGAAACCCTGCGAAGAACTTAACCCTTTCTATGATCTATCATATCATTCACACAGGAAAGTGCATATCCTTAATAGAAAGATATAGTCTGAGGGTCACTATATTCTTTCTGACAGTATGTATCATATAAAGATTTACTATATTTAGTTACATATTACAGAGCTTTTAAAATTCCTGCAAGTAATAGAGACATTTAGCAAGCTATACCTGTTCTTGAGGACTTAAATCAACTTCTGACACGGCTTTTTGATTCACCTGATCTCCCTCAGTTTTATGGGCAGAATTAGTATCTGTTTCTTCTTCAAAATCTTCACTGTAGCTACCTAAAAGAGCAAAATAAACATCAAATAGAATGAATATTCAAGGAAGATAAAGTAGTAAGAGACAGCTATTTCCTTTTCCCCAATGCCTCATCTAAGGACAGCCACTGCTAATGTTAGTCCTTTTATAAGGGCAACAGGAAGTTTCCAAAACTGAGTGTGGTACAAAAACTACAGTTGAAGTCACACATAATACCTCTAAATTCAAAGGATGTGTGCCTTATGATCAGATATACTTCATCTCCTTAAGGTGCACTTGAACTGACCCCTTTTATTCAATTACTCTCTCTCACCTAGAGGTGTAATGATGCAATTCCAGCCCTGCAGATAAAGTACTCTGTGCATTCACTTTGACAACTCCAGCAGTTTTGAGGCTCAGAATCTGTAATTTGGATTCTTATGACCTGTTTTGGTGGGTCAAAAGCCAGTCTCAAGAATAAGCACTCTTTAAAACCAAGTGTGTCAGAGAATGAACTTTACAAGCAAGCTTAAGGCTTTTCTTACAGTTACCTAGATCCTTTCACAATTTTCACTTCTCTTTTGCTGTATCTTTCCCTCTCAGCTCCTGTGGTTACAGGCTCCAGTGTCTGCATCATCTGTAACACTTAAACCTAGAACCCTTGCAAAACACTGGTTCAGTAATGTGTTCTTTATGTGTTTATGGTTTACAAATACATCCTCCTTATGCTGGGAAATTCAAGCTTAGCAACAGAACCTGTCAAAAGTTCAGCTAAATATATAAATTTGAAAATACAATCCATTAAATTACATGAATACACTCTATTACATGCCAGCAATGAAGTATGAAATAAAGAGACATAACATAAAAAAAAAAAAAAAAAGCAAAAATACTGCAGATTACAGAGATTAAACTCAGGCATGAGAAGATGGCACAAAAATACAGATGACAATTAAGGTACTGGAGTAAATGAAACATTAAATCAAACTTCAACAGCCGAGTTTTTTTGGTTTCTTTTTTTTCCATTTATGATTGATGCAGGGTGTTTACTGCTTTTTTCTTTCCTTTCCTTTTTTTTTTGTCTTTTGGTTTACAATAGATTAAAAATCCACTTAAGAAAAGAAAAAGCACAGAAGCAAAAGTAAACCCCTTAACCTCTCTGTATGAATAACAGCTGCACAGTCATAACACAAGGACAGCGTAAAAGGCTGATATAAGAACTACAGGTAAAAGAAAAGATTGTATTACCACATTTCTCTTCATGTGCAGATTCTTCTTCATTTTCAGCTTTTTCATTTCTGAGAAATAAATTGAAAATTCTACTCTCTTTTTGCACTGCAAATAAACTTTTAATACTTTAAAATAAAATAATACTTTTTTTCTTGAAACTCTACATGCTGATGCTTCTTAAAATCAGTAATAAAACAAAAAATTGTAATTTGTCCAAAGAATTAAATCAAAGGTAAGAAAAGTGGTAAAGTGTCAGCAATTATTAAATTAAAGTATTTCCCAGCTAAAAATCTCAATCTAACTCTTAAAACCACTCCCCTTCTGCATCCTCTGCAACATTTACACTAATTTCTCAAACAGTATTTTTATCATCAAGGGTTGCCTCCTGTTCTGACTGTGTCATTCTGGATACATAAATTTAACATCCACCCACCTCCCCTTTCTTTCCCCTTTTCCCATAAAACAAAATTTTTGTCCTTATCTAGAGCTTTCCAGAATTCTGCCACTCCAACTCTTTTCGTATCAGAAGTTGCCTCTGAACTCAGCATTTTCAGCAACTGCAGCCTGAAATTCCCCTCATCCATTTCTCTCACAGATGTTTGGACTTATTTTCATGTTACTGATTATAAATGGCTTGCCCTAGTCTATGAAGAGTAAGTATCTTTCCTCTAGATTAATTTGTAATATCATGTCTAAAGGGACACAGAATCTTTCCTGATCCATTTCCTTGTTATTATCGTTACCTCTTCATTTAGTTATTCCTTACAATTAGGAATGTTGTTATTAATACTGAATTACAACTTTTCTTCCCTCTAAATTACCGTATAAATGGTGCTAGTATGACAGAATCATTGGAATCCAGCTCTTTATTTAATCTTGAATAATCAATAGTAGAGGAAGCTTCTTGTTCTAGCTTGGCAAAGAAGATCTCTTTTTCTTCTTGTTCTTCCAAGGTATCCAATCCAACTCCCATGATATTTTGATTAGGCCCAGAAGCTAAAACTGAATCTAAATTTCAAAAAAGAGAATAAACTGTGTCTTTGCTGTATGTCCACACAGAATAGCCATAATAGTTAACAACTACAGATAGACTTGTAAAATATTAATGGCATCAAATCATCACAAACAAGTACTAGAAGACTTCAGTTCATGACACAGCTGACAGAAATGAAGAATCCCATCTAGAAATGAATTAAACTGCTTTTAATAGTAACTTATTTAGATCTAGTTAACTCAATGAAATGGTTGGGCTCTCAGTTCTCACCATTTGTTTCCAAGCTGTCTCTACTCAAAGAGATGGCATCTCCATTACTTTTCTGAAGCTGCATCTTTTCCACATCCATATTTTCATGACTTTCTCCCACAGGCTGTGAAGCGTTCCGCATCTTGACAAAATTTCCACTGGCTTCAAGCACTCCTAGGAAAAAAGTTGCAATATTCTTGACTACCACCCAAAAGCTATTTGTATGACACATCAGTCTTCTAGTCTCCTTCCAGAACCACCAGTTTTAATCTCACATTGCAATTGCAAAGACATGCAGTCTCACGTGTCACATTCACCTAATTTCCACTAATTCTATAAGTAAATCTTGTTTAACTAATTAAGCTATTATAAACATTATCTTCCAATTCTTTGTATTTGCACACATACCTAAAGTTCAGCATGAGTCAAATGCAAAATCTGAGTTACCATCACATTACTCATGAAAGGCAATCTCACACATAGACCCTATACAGAAATTGGCATTTCTTTCTTAAACCCCAGTTAATTGTATTTGATCTGCTATCTCAGATCACCACAGATTTTTTTAAACTTCCTAAACCATTGGCTTAGCAAGTGCATTTCAATTGTTGCTTAAAGGTTATAAGGAAAAAATAGAAATCAAAGTCTCTTAAAAGTCACTGATGAACACCCAGTTCTTCTATTCTCTACATTTATGCAACTACAACTTGTAGTTGCTCTCCTAATCGTAATTTCAGTGTTGTGAGGGTTCAACATCACCTTAACAATTGTATGGTGGCTTTCAGGCAGAATGCTGCCATATCTACTTCCCCATGGAAGATTAAAAGCCATATATTGCAGGACATTCCTAGTTCAAAAACTCCTGTGCGCCTGCATGCAGAACACACACGTTTATACTTAGATTCTGAGTAAGATCTCGTTGGAGAAGGGATAGGAGAAAAAATGCTTATGCTTTTTATGAAATGACAATGAAATTATTTAACAGTTCTCACAGAAGGGAACAGAAACTAAGTCTGTCTTTTCTGACATGAATTGTCAGTTGGTAACACTCAGAATTTTTTGTTCTGCCTGGCCACATGATGTTCAGACTGTAGCTGTGTCCTTGTACTGAACACACCAGAAGGAGTGAAGACACTGACAACAGCTCATTTCCTGCTGCAGGAGACTACAGGAGATCCATACATCAATAACACTAAATCAGTCTTCCATGTGCTGACCAAGTGCTTCAGCTGCAGGATCTTCCTCTGTTCTCTACACAGGCCCATACAAATCCCATTTAAACACGCCATAATTGCCTACATCATGACAATGGAAAATCCTTTCCCCTTGGTACTGAAAATGCATTTAGGGTGTGGGAAGGTGGGAAAGTAGGAGTCTCAACCCCTTTTCCCTCCCTACCAGGCAGCCCTCAGCATGTTCATGCCAATTTTAAGAGCCTCCTTTTTAAAAAGCAGACTAGGTTTATTTTCTTGATTTTAATGACAAATTGCCACTGCACATCTTATTGGGAGGCTAAGTGCCTAAGACTCCACATCTTGGAAATCCACATTACTGTATCTAACTCCAGCTCTGTCTTCAACAGAGAGCTCTGAATGACCTGCCTTACATGCAACAAATAAATGTCAGAGACATTGTCTAAAAGTCAAGCTCCACATGTATAGAAATTTAATACCTAAATAAATATATATTGCTACATTGAAAGGTAGAAAATGGAAAGCTCAAAGCGCTGAACAGAAGTACAAAACTACAAATAGCCCATTTCTCAGGTAGCTGAATGCAGTAATTTGAAGTAATTTACTCAGATGGCAGATGGCACTCTATTCTAGTTATCAAGGCAGCAAATAGAAGTCTGTTTGCAGATGGGTCACAAGCTAGTGTGCTATTAGCTGTAATCTCACCAGACCTCCAACACCCTATTTTTGATTGAGAATATAATAGCAGAATCAAATGCTAATTGCAACTGACCTCCTATGCAGAGATTTGCAAGAAAGGAGAAGGGATTATACAACAGTAAAAAACCCAGTTAGAATGCTTAATAGAACAAAAGGTTAAAAAAAGTATTTTCCTGTGGTTTTTTTATCTAAATCATGTCATATCCAGTGAAATTTCTCAGCAGATGTACATTGATCTTGAAGGCTTCACAGGGTTTATGTAAACTATCTAATAATTTTAAAATATTTTGCTAGTCAGTATTTTTGAGTCAAATCAGAGGTTTTTTTATAAAGCACCTTCCATAATAATCTGAAAATCAAATACTGCTTCTGCAGCCATTAAACTTTGCAACTTTGCCACTCTCAACACCCAGGCATACCCCCATTTGCTACTGAAGGCAAGAATATTTGTTTTCTCTTGCCCTACACAATCCAAACTCTGAGATATCAAACTTGGAGAAAATAGCCTCATATGGATTTAACAGTCTCTTCACCGTGTTTCTGGCTGTTTGAACAGTCCCACAGATTTCAGTGAGACTAGCGAGAGCTGTTTTTGTGGAGAGGGTATTTGTTACTTCTCTTAAAAGCTTCTTAGTCATCTTGAATGAAACGATTTCATTACTTGTATGTTTATATGCAATACTTTTTAAGGCTAAAGATATATGGTTTATATTTTAAAGTACAGCCACTTGAAATTAATTAAAATAAGAACCTGAGTTTCACTTTGAAGAATATTTCTACCTACCACACTTGCTTAGAAACATTTAAAAACATAAATACAAAGGACTCAAACTGATGATAACCATCTACTTCAAAAAGTAACTTATTTTTTCCTAATTTGACCAAGTCTCTAAGAATTGAGTCATTTTACCTTTTTAGTACCTTATAAAATACAGAAAATTTGTTACCCTCAGAATTGTGTGGACTGTCAGAAGTGAGGGCTCCTTCTTCTTTGTTTAAGGATGAACCTTTCTTGTCCTTATGAAATTTTTCCAACATTTTGGACTTAGACAAAGCCTTGCTGCGAGATGCACTTGAAGATTTAGAGGGAACTACTTATAAGTGTATATAAACATTACAAATTTTAATGCATAGTGGACAGGGAATAAAGAGAAGAATGAGATGTGAGACTTGAAAGTGACGCTTCTGAAAAAGTAACACAGTTCAGTTTCTTATACATTGAATTACCTCTAATTTTCTACCTATAAATAAAAACTAAAGTTAATACTTTTAACTTCTGGAAATAGAACTACTCTTTCCCATCCTTTTTTTTTATTTTAAAAAAGATTCTTGATCCACGTATATTCAATTTGTATTCAATTACACTGTTCTAGGAGCTCAATAAATGACCTGAAAACAGAGAAAACTAGTAAAACGATTTAAACAGTAAAAGGTTACTACAAGGTTTGAAAGAAAGCATCTAGACTGGTTCAAAGAAAAGTGGGGACACATAGGTACATAAGTATAAATTACTACTGTCTTTATCACTGTCAGATATAAGAACTGCATTTGTTTGCTCAAACCCTTGTGGGGACTTGCTCAGCAGTAAATACAACAAATGCCTTCCATTCACATTAGCAGAATTAAGTTTTAGATAACAGCACCTATGCTGAAAACTGCTCTCATGATCAAAGAGTCATAGAATGGTTTGGGTTGGAAGGGACCTTAAAGATTATTCAGTTCCAACGCTCCTGCCAAGGGCACAGATGCCTTTCACTAGACCAGGTTGCTCAGAGCCCCATCCAATCTGGCCTTGAACACTTCCAGGGATGGGGCATCCACAACTTCTCTGAGCAACCTGTTCAGTGCCTCACCACTCTCACAGGAAAGAACTTCCTCCTAATACCTGAAGCCACTCTCTTTTAGAGTGATACCATTCCCCCTTGTCCTGTCACTACATGCTGTTGTCAAAAGTCTCTCTCAATTTTTCTTGCAGACTCCCTTCATGTACTGCAAGGGCACATTTAGATCACCCTGAAGTCTTCTCTTTTTTAGGCTTAACATACCAAATTCTCTCAGCCTTTCCTCATACTAAAGGTCCTCCACCCCTCTAACTATCCTAGTGGCCTCCTCTGGACTCCTGCACAACAGCTTTTATACACCTTAGGCTAGCCAGATGCTCAGGGTTAGATTTTGCCATGTTGAAATTGTCATGGTGGAAGAGGCTTCAAAACTGAATAATTCAGATAAAACTCTCAGTTATGAGTCTTTTGAGTTTACCTTGACACAAGAGAGAGTAGTCTAGGACATCAAGCCAAATACTCTTGCTATTTAGAACAGTATAGAAGAATATAGGGATATGTGACCAGAACACCATACAGCTCATACATCCAAGATAACTAAAGGAAGCTGGTGCAGCAAGGAGAGAAATGGTATTAAATCCATTCTGATACAATTCATAGGTCCTTTATTCCCTCAACTGATGTGCAAGTTCACTAGCAAGGCACTACTTCTCTAGATCTATATTCTCCTACATTTACTGGTAAGCTAGAAGTGTTAACAACGTACTATCTGTTGTAAATAATGCAAACACCTGATACCTTTTAAAACAGTAATTTGAAATAACTACAGATATACAGATATAACTATGAATATTGCTCATATTTCACCTAACTTGAGGAATAAATCAATTTTTAGTATTTATCTCCCAGACCGAGATGCTTTACAGCCATTCTATGCAAATAAGGCTTATGAAAACATGCACATACATTTTCTAGAGCTGCATATACACTCTAGAAAACTAACACAGGGAGATGTTCTATAGTCTACAAACTAGATCACCAACATGATCCAAAGACCAAGTGCCAAATATTTCATTGTCATGACTTTCCAAAATATTACTGATCTGCTTGAATTTAACACCAGTGCCATGCTTAAAGCAGGACAAGTTAATTGATGTTGTATTTTATACAGAAGTATTTAACAGATCAATACTTATAATTCCCACTTACTTGCTGGAGTTTCTTTTCAGATAATATAAAATGACTCACATAAAATGCTGAATCTAAAGTTATACTGACTAAAATAATCCTGCAGATTAAAGTTTAAGTTTTTCACTTATACCAACTGCTGTTTCCATTCCAGGGGCAGCATGCACAAAACAGCACAGTCATCAGCAAAGGGAAAAGAACCATATCAGTAGAAAATAAGTAAAATGCTTATCTGACTGTTGTCTTTGAAATTAAACTAGCAGAACAATGAATTTTAATATTTATTGAGTATGAAATGCAGGAAGTGTAAGAGACTTTCTATTTACTGAACACGCACTTAGTACAGGTGAGAGCTTTTTGTACTGATTTTCAAAGTTATTTCCCCCTTTCCCCAGGCTGACATTCAATACTGTCTGTCCTACTACATCACTATATGTAGTGATATATGATGCTACAACAACTGAGCACAAGTTCACACAATTATTAGTTTCTTCTGAAAATAATAGAAGTATGTGGCAGCTTGGTCAAATGGACAGTTTGCTAAGGATTTTCTATAGGAAATATACTAGTAATACAAGGTTGATACTGAATAAATATATCAAAACACATTTAATCAAATACCAGACTGGGAATCTGAATGGGGACTCCTTTGTTCAGTATTTTCCACTACTTCGGAATGGCTTTCTGTCAGTTTCTTCTCTTTTCTCACTTTAACAAATTTTATTTGAAAATCTTGAAAAGACAAACAGCAGAAACAGACATGCAAGCAAGACAGGACAGAAATTCTCAGTATCCAATTTAAGTGACAAAAGCAAGTAGAAAGGACATTACCCAGGTCTCTAACTTGTTCAATATGGGAGACAGTGTCTTGAATCGTAATTTGAACATTTGTTTAAAGCTGAAGAACAAATAGTTTAAACATACCTAGAATAACTAGTGGAATTACTTTAAAGTGTATTTTATACTTCTCAGCAAAACAGGCTATTAATTTAACTCTCTGCCTATTTTTTGGCACTTCTGTAACAAGATGCCTTGGCAAAAAACACAAACCAGGCAAGAAGTAAGTGTAGAGCGTTTTTGTAACATATTTAATCTTATTCTCTTTGTCTTTCAAGAAAGCATGATAATGAAGTAACTCAAAATCAAAACCTCAAACTGCAAGCAACATATCAGCTTGGTGTATTACACAAACTAACTATTCAGGCTTTCTTCACATAACATTATCTCTACACACACCCAAAGACATCAACTTATACATATGGAACATGCATTTGTAATTAATGCAGTGCCACACTCTGGGTGAAGGTAAGATTTATGCATTTATTTTGCATTTACTTTGTATAATCATGTTTGATTCGTGACGATAAAACAACTTAAAAAATACTGCTTCTATTATCTGACAGTCTACTGATTATGTCCTATCTGCAACCAACATGACGTTTCAAACCTAGAAGGACACAGAAAGATCTCCACAAAATTTTGAAGCATGCTGACATTATACTTTCCAAAAATTGAATTTAGCTTATTTTCATGTTTGTTAGTATCACAGCAGTGTTATTATTTACTCCCATAGGAAATGATTTTGCTATTTAGGGGATGCTTACATATAACCTTACAAAAAACTACAAGTCTGAATCATCATCTTCTCCGTCATCCAGTGCAGTAACTTACACTGCAATGCTGCTGTGCCATCATCTACTTTTAAGAGGTCTGAGCAATACACTACACAACATACACACACTGTGAATATTATACATGGCAAAACAGAGATACAGGAAAATATGAGCAGTTCTGGAAGCCTATCCACACTGAATGCCTTACATTCACCTGACCTGTCATTTTAGGACACCACAAATCCATCTACATGAACTGAAATTATAGCCACATAAAACTGCAGAGAAAAACTCAATTTATCCCAAAGGTGGCCAAGGTGGTCTCTGCAAATGGCTCTCTTTTGACTCTAGGTTAATTGCACTACAACTAGATGCTATCTTGCAGAAAGGCATTCATCACAGCACACATTTTACAACTACAAAACTGCAACTGCAACTATTTGCAAGTGTCCAGAGTGACAAATATAGCCCTTTCCTCATGGGATGACAAAACCAGGAAATCCACTTCATGCCATGGAGTTACCACCCTCTTGCCAAGACAGAAAGAGGAAAACTTTCTAGTAGGAATTAAAGGCCCCTCTGCTTGGCAATATTAAAGCAGTAGGAGGGATATGGCTTATTGTAACTCCTCCATGAGTGGGGTATTCTATGCAGAGTGGTGACAGAGCAGTAAATGAAATAAAACTGATAATTTGTCTGGCAAAAATCGTGCTCAGGGAAGAATTCTTTGCACAGACCTGGCACGTTTGGTGTACACTCCTATGTTCTCAGTTTTGTTATGTCCAGCTGCCAAGATGTTGGATCTTGGAGTAAAAATGCATTACATAGAGATTACTTTCAACTCTCTCCAAAAAAAAAAAAATAAAACCAGCCCCTCATTAACAGCATGAATATGAATAGGCTAGCTTCTTTTGCATGTAAATTGATTCCATACTGGAAGAACTGGGTAGGCTCACCTTCTGAATGCCTTTCTGTTAAATGAGAATATTTTCTTAAGAGAGACCTTGAAAAGTTTATGATATATTTCATACATCAGTAAATTGTAGATCTAGTTTGTTTCAGTTTTAATAGCTTTAACTTTAGTTAACATGCACAGCTGAGAAGATATTCTTAATTTTAAAAATGATAATGGTGGAAATAGTTTAGATGGAACACCTTGATATAATCACATTGTTTCTTATGATTCTGTTTTGAAATTTATTTAAACCACACAGGCTTTGTTCTATAAAACTTGTAATCTCCCTGCCCTTTAGGAATCTATTCCATTGTATTTTCTACCATAAGAAGCATCGAAGTTAGGCTGCCTCAAGCATCTCAGAAAAACTATGGAAGCATGCTGAACTTCTAGTCACCAGAAAATTTTCTATGACAGTATGAAGAAAAATGAGGTCATGTTAACCTCTTAATTCTCACATTGCACAGCAAGAACACTCCATCCTTACATTATTTGAAGGTAAGGAAATCATCATATCTCACAACCACCTGATAAGAACTTTCTCATATCCATCTGAGTTTTACATCAACATCTTAAAAGGCTGCAGACAGATAAGAAGTCCAGCTACCACCTATTAGGATAAAGCCTGAATGGTACAACTGCTGACTAGGATTTGACTCCTCACTAAGACAACACTGACAGGATACAGCTAGTCTTAAAATCTGAGACTACCAGGAGTATTTTAACTCTGTCAGATGAAAAATGGATTTTGTAACTTTCTATTAAGATCCACTTGCAATTAATACAAAAACTAAGATACCACTAGTTACTGCAAGAAGAGAGGAGGCAATCACCCTGTGGAAGCTCACTACTCATAGGCTTTACTACCCAACAAGAAGACAATGTAGAAATTTAAAAAACAGAGGTGGAAAGCTTGCAATCGATTATATATTTTCTTCCAGAACTATGCGGCCGTGTCAATTCTGAACCAGCAACCATGTCATCACAGCCAATTTTGCCTTGAGCCAGGGTTCTTGGCAAGGGAAATGTTGCGAATACTGAAGAAATACATCTTGGATTCAGCTGGTGTTGAAAAGATTTTCTGTGCTTTTCCAACCTACTACAAATGTTGCAGTTAGCATATGTTTATACAAATTGTTATTTTTCCACAACAGTTTTGAAAACAGAAAGCTATAAAAAGTCAGTATAAAGAACAGGTTGGCTACAAAACACATATACCAATATTTCTGCAGAGTTCATAAGTTATATTTTCTAATTATTTTACTATTTATAATGTGGTCATTTTTTACAAGTTTTATTAACTCAAAAGCTACAGAAAAAATCCAACAGACAGCTTGCACAGAGCTTGAATATGAACCATTAAAAAAAAATACAATTCTATTTGACTTTTATGCTTTACAAACTTGCACTGTAACATTCTAAAACACTTGAGTGGCATCAGCTTAATCTGAAACCAGGCCTAACACGCAGTAGGAGAAAGAACTAGCCTGACCCCCTGTGGCCAAAACATTGCAAAACTGTAAATTTACCACCATCATCCAAATCTTCTTCAGATAACCACCATGGCACTGAATCCTTTTTCTTCTTTTCTTTTTTCCTGGGCTGTCCCAATTTCTCAAGCATGCTGCTCTTTTTCTTTGAATTTCCAAGTGAATCATCTGAAAGAGACTGAATCAATTGCATACAAGATTAAAGAGAGCTTTTACATTTTTACATTGTTTCAGCCACTCAATTCTGGACTTCTGAGTCCAGATGCCTCTCATTACTCCCCACTGTTTGTCTTTTTTGTATATGCATGACAAAATTGATTAAGAAACAATAACTATATTCATGTGCTATAATACTGCATATTTTAATAACCCCACTGCCAGAATTGGATATATTAAAAGTTGACTGCTTCAGAGAATATATGTTCAAATGAACTGCACAATCAGTTCTTTCTCAATTAGTTAAGACACATGAGAACTAAAACTCTGACTACACCCCTGAAGATAATGAAGTAGAGCAGAAACAATTTTGCCTCATCTTTGCTTTTTACATGAACATTATTATTAATATTCTAAAAATAAATGTGCACTAGCAACATTCTAGCTGCCAGCAAATCAGGTTTCAGAAATTAATTTTATAGTTTGCATTCATGGAATATAATAAAAATGCCAGAGCCATTCCTACCCAACTGTGTATCAAACTTTCATATGTGTTAATCATCCATGCTGATTTTGACTGATTACTTAAATCAATAGAAAAAAGAATAAAAATCTATGAGTATGGACACCATATGAATTTAAGTTACTGAAAAGCAACAGGAATGAAAAAACAACTAACTTCTGCTCTTTTCCTTTAATAATGCTCTTTGTGGCCTACAGCAGACTTCGAGGCACAATTAGCTATCCACACATTGAACAAGGAAATATTCATTAAACTAGTGCACTGTAACCTGATGTTCTACATATTCTTTGTGCAGCAAACTGGGGTTAATGGGAACGAAATACTTTTTATCTAAATTTTTAGCTACAGCTGTTAAAACCAATTGTCTTAAATTGTCTTAAAGAACACGATGCACAGAGTTAGGAAAAGCCATAAATGGTAAGAAACAAAGAATTCACATACAAAATACACCTGATGGGAAAATTTCAAAAGCTTCACTTTTGTAATAGTCACAAATAAGAAAATGTGATAGTATAAACCCAATATTAGAGGCAACAGGATTGTGGATACTGAACATGTATAACACAAGGGTATGTTTTATTAAAACAAGCCTCTGCAGTCCAGTACCTCCTATTACATTAAATACACTGCCACAGAAACCTACCGTTCCTATGTGACTAAACCTTCAGCTTCCCTGGGCTTAACAAGAATATTCAAAAATCAAATGTCAATTATATAAAGCTATAATTTAAGAAAAAATAATAGCAATAAAATATTAGTATCTCTGATAAAGAACATCTTTAGAGCTTTCAGTTTGACTAGAGAAAACTAAATGCCTGTCAATACATCTCAGAAAGAGTGCTCTGAGTCTTGCACTCCGATAAAACACAATTTTAATAAATTATGAGACTGCTCGACAACAGAATCTATTGCAATTTCTCATGGTTGGCTCTGACGTAGAAAAAAACAGCTTTAGATGTCTAATAAATATCTCATAAATAACAATTTGCTGACACTAGTCACAACACAAGTACTAGTGCCATTGTTCTCAAAGGTCAGACTGGCTCCTGCTAGCTGGAAGCACTGACAGGTGCTTGATGTTGTCACTTGCTGTTTCTTTTACAACCAACAGTATCCTCTGCTGTACACGCAGAACTTCAGTGATGCTCATACTCCTTAGGGGTTTGTAACTAAAGAACCTGAAACACTCACAGGTTGTGCTCAAATTCTGGAAACTTTCCATTTCCAGCCATCTTGTCAACTGCAGACAGTAAAGCTGCAGCAGCTGGGAAAGAAATGCTGACACAAAAATACTGGTGCATTTTTCCCAACATGTCAGTTGTCTCAACAGCAAAATTTCCTAATTTTTTTTCCTTCCTTCAGAAAAAAGGTAAATTTACACAAAAAGTGTCAGTTGTTTTATCTCAACATAAATAAAAGCTGAAAGAGATAGTTTTAAGAACTAGAGCAACTACATGGCACATCGTCAGCTTACCACCTACTTTGCATGTGAAGGAACTTAAAAAGGATAGGTATTACAGAACTTGGTCTAAAACACTCAGACTTTCATGACCAGTTGTCCTAATTAATTCATGAAACCAGTATTTTTCAATTAAATAAGTCTACTCCAAAATGTGCTTTTATTGCACAATAATATGTTCATCTATTTGATCTTTTAATAAAAACTTGTTTCTCAAACATGGCTTAATATGCGGTATTTCTCTTCCAGACACTATTCTACAGGTATTCTAATAAGGATGGTATAGCCTTTCCTTTTGAAAGTCTTCCTTCTCAAGTATCCATGAATATCAAGTAGAACAAAGGTTAACTGAAAATACTAAAAGCAGACAATGGCTTTTTCACAACATTACTTTGGGTCATCAAAAAAAGGCAATTAATTCAATTAATTGAAGCACTATGCATTAGAAAGAATTTCTCAAGTTACACCTCCCAAGAGAACATCACAGCCGACACTGCAAACACTGAAAACCTGGAGCTAAACCAATATGACAGATGATGCTGAAGGGAAATCCAACTGACAGTAGGTGAGCCAAAACAAGATACTGGTGGTAAGGAGTGGATGGACCTCAGGAACACAGTCAGTGGACGAGGAAGTGTAATGGGAAGAATTATGGATGACAATAGGCTATCACGGCAAGGGATTGGAATAAGCATAACCAGGCAGAGGGAATCATAAAAGGATTTATCCTACATACAGTCACTGTTATTATACATTTGTCTTTCCTTCTGTATAATGATAATAGTCTAAAAAATCCACTGATAGCTTTTAAAGTTCAGTGGATATGCCAAAAGACTTAGTTTAATCCTCATGAAACTTGTATCATCCAGCTGTATATAAAGTCTTTCTTTTGACTTTATATGTTTTAATCGCATACACACATAGCCCAACTCCAAACACAGATTAATTAAGAATTATTTAGAAGGGAAAAATCCTGCTCCATTTCCTCTTTGAAATACTTGCTTAAATGATATAAAATCTTCCCCAAACTACCAACAAACAGATTTTACCATTCCCCACCCACTGTGACACTCTCAACACAAACATCACATACAGAGAGATTTCAAGAAATGGAGCACAGCGGTTTCCCGTCTTTCTAATATTAAAAGGCCAAACACTTTTTATGAAAAATGAAAACCAAGGAGAAGGACACAGCAGAAGATGCATGTGTAAAAATAACAGAGAGTAGATAATGCCATTGTTATTTGGGTCTGTATCTAGCTGGCAAAAAGTACAATGAATATTTTTAATAATGGGATTAGCAGTTTGTAAACAGTTTTTGATTGAAATTATTAAAAAAAAAAGTAAGACATGAATTGTTAAAGTTCTGGGACATTCCAAATGCTGCTTAAAATAATTCAATAGTTACTTGGATTTTTTTTTAATGAGCATTCTTAATGTGGGTAATAGATGAGGAAGAAGAAGAGCATGTCAAATGAGGAATAAAATACCAGAAGCAACCACATGCAGAATTTTGACAGACATGCATAACAAATAAAAGAATAAAACTCCTTTCTCTTCCCCAGAGCAACTCCCTTTGTAACAACAGTAAGTAAAGAATATTGAAGGAAATGCAAAGACTAGTTTTCTAATTTTACTAACATCAGTAATTTCAGTGAGTTCAAGAGTGCTAATTTAGTTACATAGTTAAAATAAATTATTTTTCACAAGTATTTAAATTGCAATACAGTTTACTTTAAAAAACGTTCAAGCATACATTACATATAACAGTGGAAATATTCTCTGACATCACTAGTTATGCTTATATATAGAATAAAAATTTAGTAAAGGCCTTACATAGCAGCATCTGTGTTTTAGGGGTACCACACCGTGTGTCTGACAGACAAGACAGCAAGTTCTGAAATTACTAATTGTCTATTTGCATTGAAAAAAACCATACCTAGTCAGGGCATTTAGATCATGTCTGATAATTCTTAGCTTAAGTCAGAACCCACAGACTTCCATGATTTCATCAGTTTTCAAAACCATGAAGCACTGTGAGGAATTAAAGGACTTTAATTCAAATTTTCTAATGACTACAACATGCTTAATTGTTACAAGAATTTTTAAATATAATTCAGTGAGAGTAAGCATTGCACAGAAAAATTAAGAAATTTTTAAAACGTAGCTTGTGTTTATATACAGGCAGAGTTTTTTTTATATCATTTTCAATTATACATCAATTTGAAGCTTCTGGTACTAAGCAGCACCAACGATAAAACTGAAACAAAAATCAAGAACCAAGGGCTCTTTCTGAAGATACAACCTGGCAATGACAAAATGTTTATTTAATTACAAAGCTGTTCTCTTGATTTCAATACAGCAAAATAGTATGACTTTAACTTAGCAATTGAGACCTTGAAAAGACCCATACATAAGACAGCAATGTTAATTATGCAATGAAAGCACAGCTGAATCTTACATTTCATACTCTTCCATACTCAATTTCCCTCATTTTTTAATAGAGAATACAGATGTGACCTTGCTCTCAAACATACCTCTTTCAGAAACTCTTCAAACTGCTCATCTAATTCTTCCTTTGAAAATCGATAAGCCATATTTTGCAGCTGGACTTTACCTTCCAAACAACTGAGTCTAAAAACTAAAATTTAAGATAAAGTTAATAAAATACATTCTGAAATTGACATAATCTAATGATTTGCTTGAATGGAGCTATAAGTAAAAAAACCCCAATCCAAAACCTGAGAGATGACAAACAGCGTTCTCCCATCCCTTACAAAACTATTTACTGAATGAGACAATCAGTGCAAATGTACCTAGATCATGCAAATTCCTGATAAGCAAAATACTTCCAAAACACCAGCTTCAGCACATAATCTTTGAGGGATAAATAAAATATTATTCACTTCAGCATCTTTACATTTTTCTTCAAAAATCAGCTCTCTTAGCAACCCACAATTAAGCATTTTGTTAATAATCAAACAAGAATCTACTGTAGTAGTATTTCCATTTTAAGAGCTTTTAATTCCTTTCTATGTTTCTTCTCCAACACTAGGGACATCTGGCATTGTTAGTTTTGTTTCATCATCTCTGCTGTGCTTTGGATTTAGTAAACAATAAATAAAGGTAGATCTTTTTAAGGTTAGGGAATAGCATTTGGTTTGATCTGCCCTGGCACAGAAAGCCAATGACATTAGCCCTACTCTCCTTCCACTAAATCTTCATCAACTTCTCAGGTATAAAATATGCCCCACAACCAAAAGGCTGCAAAGCTCTTGTGTATCACAGTGCTCAACACATATGGCTGCCTTCAAAACTGCATATGTATGGCAGCATTAAACTGCACTAGCATCTTCCAGGCTGAGAAGTGTGATGTAAACATAAAAGGGCTAAACATTTGCAAAAGTGCTTTTACCGTGAAATAAAACTTCTCCCAGTATGGAGCCCACTCAGTACACAGGACTGTTACCTACCTAATAAATTGATTTTGACAGGCGAGTTGTGACAACTGTTTCCTGCTTTCACTCCTTATCCATCCATAGACCACCCGACACTTTGGCTTTGGCAGTTAAAAAAAAAAAAAGTTATATAGCAGACTGCCCAGGAACTGAATTAAGCACGATATCCTTATGTAAGCATTTGGACAATATCTCTGAAAACATGGTAAGGAGATTAAGAATGTTACCTCTCAGGACACACGTAATCCAGTATCCTTTTATACTTTCACATCAAAGAACACTTGATGTTAAACGCAGGATGCTTTAGCAATTTACTAAGTGCGCCAGCTACTTTAGCAAGTGGGGAATATTTAATTCTAGCCTTGAAAGAAAAAAACTAAGTGATTCTTCTGACACTATCCATACTTCTTCCTACATCAGAATGACGGCTTTCTTCTGCCTGCCTTATAATTACATCTTTTATAACAACTAACAATACGTAACTTAAAGGACAACAAACGCGTTTACAATTTCAGTAACAGAAGATCAAAGGCAAACGTTAACCTTAGCAAATAAACTTTTCAGCCATAACTTCAGACCTGGCGGCTCACAAATGACTTTGTGCACAAAAGAAAGGCGGCACTTGTTGGGATATATACTACAACACAGCGCAAAAAGCGGAAGTTTTGAGGATGTATGGCTAAACCACGGGGGTGGAGGAAAGCTTAAACAGCCTAACACATTTCACCTAACCTTTTCATCATCCCAGCTGTGACCCGATCTTCCTCCTCCTCCTGCGGCTTTCCCTGGAGTACACGCACGGCTGGCGCACGGCAGCGCTGGGGCTCGGGCCGGGCGGGCAGGGCTCGGCTCCAAGGCCCGACGGGCGCCCCGGGG